TTAATGTATCTCTTACTGTTTCCATACAAAATGATTAATATTATGGACGCTCATATGTTTGTTGGACAAGGAGAGGAGAAACACATCCATGCAATTCCGTCCTAGGGTGGGTTGTCCTGCTGAGAGAGTATCTGTCCTAGAAGAAGTACCGCCTGAGGGAAAGACTTTACCCATATTGATTGTGACCACACCTATGTGTAAGCCCCAGCTCCTCATGCTTTGGGATTTAACTAGACTGTAAGAGTGGGCTGGGGGATCCAGACTCCAGAAGGAGAAGGAGAAAGGGGATCCAGATCCAGATTCCAGAGCCAGGAGGAGAATGAAGGGAGATAGAGGAGGAGAATGAAGTAGCGTCGGGGAGGAAGAAGCAGGAGGAGAATCAGAGGAGAATGGGGATGGGAATGGAATAAACTTCAACTGATACCAACCAATCTGACCCTCGTTTCCTTCTTTCGCCTGCCCATCGCCATTGACCTCCCCAGGGTGGGGGAAGTGGCGTGAGACTATCGAACGCGGGCGGCAGGAGAGATATGCTTCTGCCTTTTTGTGCTTACACAAGAAGTAATGTGGAGTTCATGCCCAATTCTTAATTAGTGGCTTAATCAGCTTAATCAGTGGCTGAATACATAGTAGTACTCCTACATTAAAAAAAAGGAAGAGGAAAACTGGGAGTAATATGAGAGAGAGAGAGAGAGAGAGAGAGAGAGAGAGAGAGTGTGATGGGTGGGAGTCAGAAATTGTCTTGGCAATTTTGGTAATGGTAAAGATGCAGTAACTTTGTACATCAAAACCATAGATATTAACAGTACTTTAACATGCTACATAAACTATAATTTAAAAAGTAGCCTATCTATATTTAAAACTTGGAAAGCTTTATTTTGTGTTTATTCTTATTTTGTAACTAAACATAATAAATCATTTATGAGTTAATTATAAGAAATTTAACTACGTAAAGAGGACCATTTTTAGAATAATACTATTCTATAGCATTCAATATAATTAAAATGATAGTAATAACCTCCCTATAAAATATAATTTATAAATTGCCAACAAATACTTAAAAGATTTTAATATCCTTGTAAGTAGGAAACTGGAAATAATCTTTCCGTCTAACAGACTTTCAAAAATCTAAACATGCAGCAAGAGAGTAAAGATAATCAATTCCCCAACAAAGACTGTATAAGCTAACCTAACAATCTTATAAAGCAAGTTGAAAATATCAATTAAAATTTAAAGTGCAGCTATGCTGGTAGTTAATTATTATCGAAAAGAAATAGTAAGGCATGGGAATTGAGGCAGCACTGTAGCACTGTTCTCCCGTTGTTCATCAAGTAACGTCTCACAACAAACTGTGAGACTTGTTGTTACTGTGTTTGGCATATCGAATACATTACAGGGAGCTTACCAGGCTCTTCCGTGTGGGCGAGATACTTTCGGTAGCTTGCTGGGCTCTCTAAGAGGGACGGAGGAATCAAACCTGGATCGGCCATGTTAGCCACATGCAAGGTAAACGCTTTACCTGCTGTGCTATGCATGCAGCCCAGGGATTGAGGTGTCACAAATAATTAATTAACTTATTTTTTGGTTATTTCCCAATAATAGAATAAAAAAGTCTATGAATGAGAAATTGTATATATTATGATTTTTAGAATACTGATTTCTTTGGGGGGAAGGGAGTCACCCAGCAGTACTCAGGAACTATTCTTAGCTCTGCGCTCAGGAATCACACCAAGCACTGCTGAGGGAAACATGTTCGGTGCTAGGAATCATCTGGAGCTGCTGCATGCAAGGCAAGCACTCACATTCCTATGCTAGCTCTCTGGCTCCTAGGAGACTGATTTTTTTTTTTTTAAGAAGAATAGCACAGGGGGGTACAGTGCCACTAGCAGGTCAATCTGTACCTGTGAGGTGAGTACATCAGCAGCCTGATGGCGCTTTCAGACTTCCAGATACCCCAAAATCGCTGCTGTGCCTTTGGCCAGACCCCAAAAACTTGGGGTAAGGTTTACCAAGAAAGTAAATGGCCAAAAGTTAGGTATGTGGGAGACACACCCACAAACCACCTCTGGCTCTGCTATATAATTGGAGGCATGGCCTCTCTGGTTTCTGATCGAACTGCTCAATGGCCATGATCCCAGAGACTCAGAAACAAATCTCCCAACCCAGCAGCTTTGGGCAGAAATGCGTCTGGTCCCTGCAGTAGGTTACCAGCACTGGGCCAACCTAGGTGGGAATAGGTTTTGTGCCTTGACCTATTCCCCCTGGTGACCCAGTACCGCCATCCTCCAGAGGCCACTGGACAGTCAGGTTTGGGCCAGCAGTGACAAGACATGTGGGGCCTCACAGGATGGGGGTGGAGCCGGCCCTTTCCTCCTCGTCCCAATGAGACCCTGAGTCGCCGTCCATGAATGGCCTTTCTGGCTCCTGATAAGCTGCTTAACGGCCATGATCCTAGAGACTCAGAAACAAACCTCGAAACCCAGTGGCTTTTGACAGAAATGTGTCCGGTCCCTGCAGTGGGTTACAGGGGCTAGGCCAACCCAGATGGGAATAGGTTTCGTGCCTTGGCCTGTTCCCCTGTTGGCCCAGTGGCTGCCATCCTCCAGAGGCCACTGGACAGTCTGGGCCCACAGTGACGAGACACATGGGGCCTCACGGGATGCGGGTGGAGCCAGCCCTTTCCTCCTCGTCCCAATGAGACCCTGACTCGCCGCCCATGAATGGCCTTTCTGGCTCCTGATCAAGCTGCTTAATGGCCATGATCCTAGAGACTCAGAAACAAACCTCAAAACCCAGTGGCTTTTGACAGAAATGTGTCCGGTCCCTGCAGTGGGTTACAGGTGCTGGGCCAACCCAGATGGGAATAGGTTTCGTGCCTTGGCCTGTTCCCCTGTTGGCCCAGTGGCCGCCATCCTCCAGAGGCCACTGGACAGTCTGGGCCCACAGTGATGAGACACATGGGGCCTCACGGGATGAGAGTGGAGCCAGCCCTTTCTTCCCCACCCCAACTAGACCTCACGTCGCCGCCCACGAACGGCCGCTAAGGCTCCTGATCAAGCTGCTTAAAGACCATGATCCCAAAGACTCAGAAAAAGTCTCGAAACCCAATGGCTTTTGGCAGAAATGCGTCTGAACCCCACAATAGGGTACTGTCGCCAGGCCACCCCAGGGGGGAGTTGTCCCTCCACCTGCTTCCCCTTGGTGGCTTGGTGGCCGCCATCCTCCAGAGGCCATTTGACAGTCAGGTTTGGGCCTGCAGTGACATGTTGGGCCTCACAGGATGGGGTGGAGCTGATCCTTTCCTCCCCACGCCAATGAGACCCCAAGTCATTACCCACGAATGGCTTCTCTGGCTCCTGATCAAGCTGCTTAACGGCCATGATCCAAGAGACTCAGAAACAAATCTCGGAACCCAGTAACTTTGGCATAAATGCATCCGGACCCCACAATAGGTTACTGTCACTGGGTCACCCCAGGGGGGGAAGGGTTTTGTCCCTCCACCTGCTCCCTCTAGGCAGCTCCATGGTCACCATGCTCCAGAGGCCATTGGACAGTCAGGTTTGGGCCCACAGTGACAAAAAACACGGGGCCTCACGGGATGGGGGTGGAGCCAGCCTTTTCCTCCCTATCCCAACAAGACCCCGAGTTGCCGCCCATGAATGGACTTTCTGGCTCCTGATCAAGCTGCTTAATGGCCATGATCCCAGAGACTCAGAAACAAATCTCGGAACCCAGAAGGTTTTGGTAGAAATCCCTCGAGATTTAATTGTTAAAATTTCGGAATTTCAAAATTGTGAGGCCACTACTGCAGCCACGTGACATCATATGCTATTCATAACCAGCAATAGAAAACAAATTGTCTTCTGTTTCCTTTTCAGCAGATCTGAGTGTGTGGGTAAAATCTCAAATAATAATGGTGGGTCTGGTGTCAAAATATTGAATGTGATCAAAGTAGAGAGATTAATGTGGAAATCATCTGCCCCACAGGTAGGGTGAGGGTGTGGGATGGGGTATACTGGGGTTGTTGGGGGTGGAGAATGGGCACTGGTGAAGGTACGGTTGCTTCATTGTATGACCGAGATTTAGACCCAAAAGCTTTGTAACTGCTCTCATGGTGATTCAATAAATAAAATTATAAAAAATGAAAAGAAAAAGTAAGTTGGAGTTCATGCCCAATTCAATCAGCTAATCAGTGGCTGAATAAATAGCAGTACTCCTACATAAATAAAAGAGTAGCATAAAGCAGATAAAAATAGATGGTCCCAGTGTGTATCAATATGGAAGGAGCCCCCAAATAAATTATACAACAATATATTCAGGATACAGTTCATATTTAAAAAAACCCTCAAACATTATAGCTCATATATAAATGTAAATATTAGCAGAGCGAGTAATATATATATAATCACTTATTAAGTGATTATATTCTACTTCTATAGAGGAAATGTAAGTAATGAAGGAGACTTGCTATTGCCAAATGCTTTACTCATATTAAGAATTTAGTAATAAATCAATTTAAGAAATGACTCTCTAGAATGACTGAGATATTTACTATACCTTCACATTCTGGTTTATATATATATATATATTTACACACACACATATATGAATATTACTGTATGTCTATCTCCAATCTCAGAGAAAGTCACCACCTCATTGTTCCTGAAAACTTCAAGTATATAATGAAACAAGCTCGACTTTTACATGTAATTACCTGTTCTTTAAACCTTTCTAATTCAAATTCCTCACTATCTCCTCAACAGGAAACAGCTCGATCTCACTTATAATCATCAAAATAAAAGTATAAATACAGACATCGGACCTAAGATTTCTTAAATGGAGAAAAGCAAAGAGTGCTCACATTCTGGTTTCCAAAAGTAATTGCTGATTTCCTCTCTTAATGGCTTCAAGTCCACACTATAAATTAGTGCAATTTAAAGGTAACACTTTTATTATCTGATGTTTTAGAAACATAATGGAGTTTGACTCCAAATAATTACCTGAAATGACTTGAGGATGCTTCTTTGCACAGTAACATTTTCTTATGTCTATAAGAGGCACACTGCCAGTTTTGTTGAAATCCAATTTCATAAAAGCCTAAAATAGAGAGAAAAGCTATATTTCTTCTATAAAAATCATCAGACATGGAACCTAATTTTCTAATGTACGGCAATGGTTACCTCTGGGCTCTAAATAAGACAGTTTGAAAATACTTAACTTTTGGATAAAGAAAGTAGCAGAAGTACTGTGAGACAGAGACTGGAGGCAGACAAGGGACATGGGGACAGTGGTAGAGGTTGGAGGGCACTTGGAGGCTCGGAGGTGGTGAGATATGAAATTACTATACACCAACACCATAAACATTAACACATGTGCACATGTTACATAAACTATAATCACAATTGAAAAATATCCCCAGAATGATAATGGAATAAGAAGTAACCCAAAATCCAGTATTAGCTCAAAGCTCAACCACATACTAGCACACTGAGAAAAGAAACTGATTTTAGTTGCCCTGGCTTTAACTCTGCACACGAAAGAGAAAGCAAGCACAGCTCTCAGTTAATGTCCAGTTCCTGAGCACCACTGGGTGTGAGCCCTCCAAAACAAACAAACAAGCAGCAATAAGAATAACTAAATAAAAGAAATAAAAGTCAGAGATCAGACCCAGGAAGCACAGACTATGAAATGATCAGGTGAGAACCCATTAGGAAATAAGCAAAGGAGGGAAGCCTTGGTAGAACCCAAATGTATTGCTTCTTAATCTTGGACTTACAGCCTCTATAATATGACACAATTTATTTCCTTTTTTTTTTTTGGTAGTCAGTTTGTGATAATTTGTTATTGGGACCTAAGCAAATCAATATAGCACAGTACTTCATAATTCTATTTTTGTTCTCTCTTTCCAGAAGCTTGACTGTTAGCTAGCTTCTACCTCAGATACCCAAACCACCATTATTAAGAAATGAAAAAGTTATGTAACTATATTTAATATTAATATATATTTATATTTAAGACTTTAAAATATAATTAATAATTTCATTGTCTTTGTTCTGTAAAGATAGAGATTTTATACTTTTTTCATTTATGATTTATTCCTGGAACCAGAGTACACTGAAAAGATTTATATTTGACATAAATGTCCTTGCTATCCTAAACATAAAACCTTTGTTATAATACTAGTTACAAATATATTTTCTATTAGGTACATTTATGAAGGAAACCATATTACCCAAAAGCTTGCTCAAAATATGGCCATTAAAATCAAACTTACATGTAGTTTCCTATAAAAAAAATGGAGCTCTCCTTTGTAAAATTACAATTTAACATAGAAGTCTTTATTTAAATTTTTTTTCAGTTAAGGATACTTTTTTTTTCTTTTTGGGTCATACCCAGGTTAGCTGCATGGTTGGAAAAGCCCTCTCCACTGTGCTATCACTCTGGTCTGAGCATGCATATTTTTGCAATAAGGTACATCTGTCCTAATTCTTGACACCAAGACAGATATAATGCTAAAAATTTATACCAACATTATGAATTAAAAAACTGAGGCTCAAACTGGACGGCTACACTCCCTAACGCCATGTACAAAAGTAAGATCAAAATGGATTAATGACCTCTACATCAGACCGGAAACCATAAGATACATTGAAGACAAAGTTGGCAAAATCCTCCATGACATTGAAGCTAATGGTAGCTTCAAAGATGTCACGCCACTGGCCAAGCAAGTGAAAACAGATATAAACAAATGGGACTATCTTAAACTAAGAAGCTTCTGCACCTCAAAAGAAACAGTAACCAAAATACAAAGACAGTCTACAGAATGAAAAAGGATATTCGCCGAATGCACGTCTGACAAGGGGTTGATATCAAGGATATACAAGGTACTGGTTGAACTCCACAAGAAGAAAACACCCAACCCCATCAAAAAATGGGGCGAGGAAATGAACAGAAATTTTCGCAAAGAAGAAATCTGAATGGCTAAAAGGCACATGAGAAAATGCTCTACATCATTAATCATCAGGGAGATGGAGATCAAAACAACAATGAGATATCATTTCACACCACAGAGATTGGCCCACATCCAAAAGAACAAAAGCAACCAGTGCTGGCGCGGATGTGGTGAGAAAGGGACCCTCCTTCACTGCTGGTGGAAATGCCAACTGGTCCAACCCTTTTGGAAAACAGTATGGATGATTCTCAAAAAATTAGAATTTGAGCTCCCATTTGACCCAGCAATACCACTCCTGGGAATATATCCCCGAGAGGCAAAAAAGTGTAGTTGAATTGATATCTGCACTTGTTCGTTCATTGCAGCACTCTTTACAATAGCCAGAATCTGGAAAAAACCTGAGTGCCCGTGAACAGATGACTGGTTAAAGAAACTTTGGTACATTTACACAGTGGAGTACTATGTATCTGTTAGAAAAGATGAAGTCATAAAATTTACATACAAGTGGTAGTACATGGAAAGTATCATGTTTAGCGAAATGAGTCAGAAAGAGAGGGATAGACATAGAAAGATTGCATTCATCTGGGGAACATAAAGTAACATAATGGGAGACTAACTCCCAGGAGTGGCCGAGATTAGCACCAGGAATTTTGCTCCATGACTTGGAGGTCAGCTACAGATGCTAGGGGAAAAGGAAGCTCAGATAGAAAAGGAAGCACCAAATAAAGGGTGTTGGGAGGATCCTCCCAGGATGGGAGAAACATGCTGAAAGTAGACTATAGACCAAACATGATTGCCACTCAATGCCTCTCTTGCAAACCACGGAACCCAAAAGGAGAAAGAGAGAGAACAAAAGGGAATGACCTGCCACAGAGGCATGATGGGATGGGGGGGATGGGGGGTGGGAGGGATTCTGGGACCCATGGTGGTGGAGGATGGGCACTGGTGGAGGGATGGGTACTTAATCATTGTATAACTGAAACCCAAGCACAAAAATTTGTAAGTCTATAACTGTACCTCATGGTGTTTCACTAATAAAAAAAATCAATTAAAAAATAATAAATAAATAGATAAATAAAAACACTTATTTAAAATTTTAAAAAATGATTGAAATGTTAAAAATGATCATTTTATGAAACTATGTAAAATTCCTTGGGTAATTTATTTACATTTGTGTAAGAATATGTTTTCTGTGATTGTATCTATGCAATAAAATATGCATGGAATATAAAAAAAACTGAGGCTCAGAAATATTACGTATATAGTCAGATGGCTAGTAATTTATGAAGTCAACAATTTATGGACCTGGTTCGTTATCAACCAAATTTGACATCGTATTTTATTTTTCTTTTATATTTTTCTAAAACATGTGAAAGTGACTTTCTTCTATCCTCAGTACATTCATAAGAGTATATATATGTGTGTGTGTGTATACACATATATATATGTATATGTGTTTTACAAAGCCAAAATACACTATAGGTAAAGGTATTTAATAAAGTTTCAATGACAATTCATCAAATGAACCTAACAATTAATAAAAAAAAACCTACATGGAAGATTACTTAATAAAGTTACCTTTCGAACAAATGATTTCCTGTATTCATTCATTTCACCAATGAATGCACGTCTGAATTCTCCATAATCTACCTTACCACTGTCATTCTTAAGGATTAGCCATAAAGACTCAAAATCCTGCAATAAGAGTACAACCATTACATTTTAAATCATATTTATATCCACAGCAACAATAATCATAGTAGCATTTAATTACATCTTTGTAACCCTGAAAAGACTTGATAAGAAAGATTGTATTAAAAATGTCTTAAAAGTTACATATAAATCTGACAAATGGAAATAATAAAGATATTTAAAGGCAATCTGGAATACAGATCTACATAGATCTGCAAAGTTATTAATAACCATTTAGTCATAAAATTTTTCATTTCAGTTCTTTACTATACAAAAGAAGTGCTTTCTGTTTATTTGGATTTAAACATTTAGTTATTTTTAATGATTTACATCTGAGACCATTAAAAAGTTACTTCAACTTACATTGACTCCCAATAGGTCTTGGGTAAATGTAAGTAGCCTCACTAATTACATTTCATAATTAGTTGTATAGAAGGTTTAAATGACTCTAATAATATTCCATGATTTACGCTGAAAGTATATTCTGAGTGAATTCCTAATACCAGTTTGTTTATCTAGTATTACCACTTTCTTGTTTTAAAAGGCACAATTTAGTTAAATGTTACGGTCAAAGTTCCTAATCACAAAGTCATTATAGTCTGAAATTTTATGAAACTTAAGTATATACATCCTCAGGTCATTACTTTTTTGTTTGTTTTTGGTTTGGAGCCACACCAGGTGATGCTCAGGGAATACTCTGTGTTCAGTAATCACTCCTGGTTGTTCTCCAGGGATTGAACCCAGATTGGCCACATGCAAGGCAAATGCCCTACCTGTTGTACTATCTCTCTGATCCCTCAAGTTGTTAGTTTTAAATAGGAATGTCTATAAGACATCTAGACATCTAGCAAAGATGGGGCCTAAAAGATAGATTAACTGGCTAAGTATATATTTTGCCTGCTGGATGCTGATTCAGTCCCTTGCTCTGAATAGTCTGAGCACAGAAGTGGTAGCAGCCCCTGAGCTCTGCTGGGTGTGACGGAAAAAATAAATAAAATATCTAGCAAAGTGCCTGAAACATCAAGGATATTCAAAATATATTCTCCTCTACTTCTTCCTAGTTTTTTCATGTGAAACTTTACTAAAAAAAACTAAATGTTAAGATAACCTGCTTCAAAGCTACCAGTTCTCAACAACCCACACAACTTTTTTGGTCTGCCATCAAGCACTGTACATATAAAGACTTAGAGTGTCTGTTAAATGAGCTTTTTAAGTGTGAAAATGTGCTTGACCTTTAAAAGCATAAGTGGTGTGAATAGAAGAAGATAAAGTTGCTCATTCAAATCACAGAATACCAGAATAAAGAGAGTGCTTGAAGATTAAAAGAAAGAATTTTAATAATTGAATTAACTGACAACAAATTTATATGACTATTTCTTTCCAAGAGATAGTACAGAATAGAAAATAGTATTAAATCTTTAAAAGAAAGGTAATTCCATTGATGATATCTCTATGTACATTATTATTTAAGTTGCATATCATTTTTAAATTGCAAATCAAGGAGAACAGAACAACTACGCCTTTCTCAAGATTAGTTCCACAATTAGATCTGGTTTGATGATTCTTATGTTCTTGTTTTGGCTTATCATTGCATGGGAAATCTCAAGACATTATTAAATAAGACAAACAAACAAAAGTCAAAGATGGCCATTATTTTAAAAATAAGAAAACTGGGGGTTGAAGCGACAGCACAGCAGGTAGGGCGTTTGCCTTGTATGCAAACGACCCAGATTTGATTCCCAGTATCCCATATGGTCCCCCGAGTACTGCCAGGAGTAACTCCTGAGTGTATGAGTCAGGAGTAGCCCCTGTGTGGGACCCATCGCCAGGTGTGAGCCAAAAAACAACAACAAAAAAACTGGAGAAATTTTTATTTCATAATATATGTTGACCTTATTTTAATATCTTGTATAATTCTTGTACAATTATTTTGGTGTTGATTCTTCAGTTGTAATCATAAAAATTTAGCAAGCCAATCAAAAGGGAACTATTGAACTAATGAAGAATACTAGACTGGCACAGATTATCAGATGTATCTCAGTTATTAATTATTTATGTGGCCATAGGTAAGAATGCCAAGACTTCATTTACTATTTCTACTTTTATTTTTTGCAGGTGTGAGGGCAGGCATGTATTTCCAAGTACTGTTCATGTGGCCTTGGGGCCACTCCTGGAAATCACCCTGCTGGGTGAACCAGATAGTTCGATGTTCAGTCAAGTTGACATGGAGTGGCTCTGATCCAAAAGTGTGTAGGCACCTCCAAGGATCCACTCAAGCAATGCTCATGCAATCATATTAACTTGGAACCTAATGTATGTAAGGCAAGGCATGCATACCAGCCCTTGGAGCTTTATCTTCCCAGTCCCTGCCTTTTCTTTTTTAAATTTAGTAAAGTTAAAAATTAAGTTAGATAATCACTGGTATATTCACTAGCTGGGCCACAAGGCTAAACTTGGTAAGGTAAAAAGGTAAAGGCCCTCCCGTTGATCGTCGATTTGCTCGAGCGGGCCCAGTAACGTCTCCATTGGAGACTTTGTTGTTACTGTGTCTGGCATATCGAATACTCTCGGTAGCTTGCTGGGCTCTCCGAGAGGGGCGGAGGAATCGAACTCGGGTCGGCCATGTTGGCCGCTTGTAAGGCGAACGCCCTACCCACTGTGCTATCGCTTGGTAAAAATACAAAACAAGTACATTATAGTATGATATGTAATATATTGACACAAAACCTTACAGTTTGTGAGGTATATTCCTATTCCTACGTACTTTATGTAATTTTCTCATTTAAACTACAAAACAACTGGCTATTGGTATTATCTCTATAGCGTTCAGGAAGAGGATGTCAACCAGAGAAACAAAAGCTACAACTGAAATTTACATTTCAAATATTCAATTTCCAGTAATCTTTCCACAAAATACACTATACTTTACAGCAATAGTATGTGAAGCTAGAGAATCCCTGTCTGAAACCCTTGAGGTAGATGTGTTTCAAATTCATATACTTTTAGAATAAAATCAAAACTTCTGAGCATGTCCTCCCCACCCCAACGAGACCCCAAGTTATCGCCCACGAATGGCCTCTCTGGCTCCTCATCAAGCTGCTCAACGGCCTTGATCCCAGAGACTCAGGAGCAGATCTCTAAACCCAGTGGCTTTTGGCAGAAATGTGTCCGGACCCCGCAGTAGGTTACTGTCGCCGGGCCACCCCAGGGGGGAATGGGTGCTGTCCCTCCGCCTGCTCCCTCTTGGCGACTTGGTGGCTGTCATCCTCCAGAGGCCATTGGACAGTCAGGCTTGGGCCCGCAGTGACGAAACTTGTTGGGTCTCACGGGATGGGGGGGGGGGGAGGTGGAACCGGGCCTGTCCTCCCCACAATAACGAGACCCCAAGTCATCGCCCACAAACGGCCTCTCTGGCTCCTCATCAAGCTGCTCAACGGCCTTGATCCCAGAGACTCAGAAACAAATCTCGAAGCCCAGCAGCTTTTGTCAAAAATGTGTCCGGACCCCGCAGTAGGTTACTGTCACCGGGCCACCCCAGGGGGGAATGGGTGCTGTCCCTCCGTCTGCTCCCTCTTGGCGACTTGGTGGCTGTCATCCTCCAGAGGTCATTGGACAGTCAGGCTTGGGCCCGCAGTGACGAAACTTGTTGGGCCTCACGGGATGGGGGCGGGGGGTGCGGAGCCGGGCCTGTCCTCCCCACCCCAACGAGACCCCAAGTCATAGCCCAGGAACAGCCTCTCTGGCTCCTCATCAAGCTGCCCAACGGCCATGATCCCAGAGACTCAGGAGCAGATCTCTAAACCCAGTGGCTTTTGGCAGAAATTCCTCCAGATTTGTGTTAAAATTTCGGAATTTCAAAACCACATGGCCCTACTGCAGCCACACAACATCATATGATATTCATAACCAGCAATAGAACACAAATTGTCTATTGTTGCCTTTTCAGCAGATCTGAGTGTTGGGGTAAAATCTCAAATAATGGTGAGTCTGGTGTCGAAATAGTGAATGTGATCAAAGTAGAGAGAGAATAATGTGGAAATCATCTGCCCCACAGGCAGTGGGAGGGTGTGGGATGGGGGTATACTGGGATTTTTGGTGGTGGAGAATGGGCAGTGGTGAAGGTACGGGTGTTTCATTGTATGACTGAGACTTAGACCCAAAAGCTTTGTAACTGCTCTCACGGTGATTCAATAAATAAAATTATAAAAAAATGGAAAAAAAAAGTAAGGTGGAGTTCATGCACAATTCAATCAGCTAATCAGTGGCTGAATAAATAGCAGTACTCCTACAAAAAAAAAAAACTTCTGAGCAAGGCATGTAATGTTTTAACTTAATGGAAATTGCTAGACTTAAAGTTACAGTATCTTTTTTTTCTTACTTCCTATTTAAAACAACATTGGCTATCTATTCAACAATTGACACACTGCAGATACTACTTAAGGTGTTACATATATTCAACATGAAGTTGGAAGCTTATTGAATACAGTCGGAGCTGGAGGAAATTTAGAGTCAGAGCGAAAGGAAATTTTTAAAGCATCATGAAATAACAGGAACAACTGGTATAAGGAGAACCAGGATCAGATGAACATGGTTTTTAGAGAAAAGTGTTCTGATAGTGTTCTCAGCAGAAAAGCCTGAAAAAAGGGAAAAATCAGTCATGGAGAGAAATAAAAACATCTATGAGCAGAGGAACACGTGAAGGTTCTATGCAGATTTAAGGGTAGGATGAACTATTTGAAATTCTGGTTATGGACAACATTCTGTTTCCATCCTATGCTTCACATATGCTTCTTTTCCTGACAACTCATTCTCTGGCCCTCATTTCTCCTCCCTTCATTTCTGCTTAATTCCTTTTCATTCTTCAAAACTCGGCTCAAATTTAGCTCCCCTCCAGGAATTTATCTGTGATATTCTCCCTCCTACCCCATAATATGTCTTGGAATGGATCCTATACTCCCCCAAAGCATTCTCCATTTTAAAAATCATTTTGTTTTAAAAATATGTTTCCCTTTACTTTGATTATGAAGACTACAAAACTCCAGGACACATCTTTTCAGAATTTCAAGGAATACCTGGCAGTTAGGTCCTTAATCAACATATGATGGAGAAATAAATGTTGAAGTCTTAGAAGCCAACAGAAAGTGTCTAACTGAAAATGGGGTATAAAGAAGCAGAAAACAAGTGAATGACTAACACTCTAATAGGAAAATGAGCAACAATTATCTAAGAATAAATTATCATCACTGCAGATAATTATCCAGAATATATACCTTTTCAGATACTTTCAAGGAAAATTTTTTGAGTCCTTGCTTAAAATCTTCCTTATCTAAAAGTCCATTTCCTTCTTTGTCCAATTGTTGAAGATATTTTCCCAATCCATGCAAAATACGAACACCTCTTTTATGTAGCTGTTTTTTTAGCATATCTATCCAGGTAGAAAAGAGGTAGAAACTAAGCATTAATGTGTCAATTTGCAATTGCCTGTCTTAAAAAATAATAATAAAGTTGATGTCATTTATATAAGAAATGTGAGTATTCAGCAAAATCATTCATATGACTTAGAAAATTTTGGAAAATAAAATACTTTTAGTAAAAGGGCTTATATTTAAAATCACATATAAATATACAAGAACACTAGCACCCCTGTGTGGTGAAAAGTTATATTTTAGATATAGGAAAATAGTGTTTCACTATCATCATGAAAATAACTAGTGCTGCAAATGAAAAATCTTAGTTTTCATTTTCTAGGCCTCCTCTCCATCTCATAATCCAATATTGTTATTCTTCTGGGACTGTTTGCAACTGAATTATAAAATAAATGCCAGGCAAGTACAAAAGAATGGTCTGTTCAAAATTTCTAATAAAATTTGAAATCTTCAAGCTGTAACCTAACAAATAGTTTCAGGGCTTTAGAATGCTACTCTATACTTAAACATTTAAAATAAATCTTTCCACCAAGAATTTGTAAAAGATGATATTTATCAGACCCTTAGTTTGCTCTCAGTACAGTCAATGATTTCATTTAATGCAGTTTGAGCCATCATAAGAAAATGCAGACAATTTTACTAAAGCAGTTACTATACATACAATATTGGAGAAGACGACAAATGCAATTAGATACAATAATGAATAATTCTTATCATGAAAGAAAAGAGAAAATGAGTTACTAAACATCAAGAACATCTCAGAGGGGAGATTGAAGGTAATCTGGGGATACTGGTGCCGGGAAATGTAGACTGGTAGAGGGATGGGTGCTGGAATATTATTATAACTGAAATCATGAATCATGAATGGTTTTGCAATGCTCTAAAATTTTTTTTAAAAAATTTACAAGATCCAAAGATGAAAAACAATAAAACATCTAAAATTTAAAAATAATTTTTAAAAAACAATATAAATTCGGGAATTTGGTGATATTGGTGGTTATATATGCCCAAGGATATTTTTCTTCTATACTCCATTAAAATTTTTGAAAGTATATTGGAACACTTTAAAGAAGTTTGATGAGTAGTTACTAATGTGAATTAAGTGAAAATAAACATATAAATTATTTTTGGATTAAACTGAATAGTTTTCTGAGAACAAATACTACACTTGATCTTAGCCAAAAGGCCAAGAAGCGATAGCTGGGCTGGAGCGATAGAACAGAGGGCAGGATGTTTGCCTTGTATGCAGCCGACCCAGGTTTGATTCCTCCGTCCCTGTAGGAAAGACTAGCAAGCTACCGAAAGTATCCCATCTGGACGGCAGAACCTGGCAAGCTCCCTGCGATGTATTCGGTATGCCAAACACAGTAACAACAAGTCTCATAATGGAGACATTACTGGTGCCTACTCGAGCAAATCGATGAACAACAGGAGGACCGTGCTACAGTGCAGTTTTCTGAGAAGAGATGATTATGTTACATTTGGATAGGAATATAAAATAAGTAAAAGTAAAGGCCCTCCCGTTGATCATCGATTTGCTCGAGCAGGCCCAGTAACATCTCCATTGGAGACTTTGTTGTTACTGTGTTTGGCATATCGAATACGTCACGGGGAACTTGCCAGGCTCTGCCGTGATAAAATAAGCAATAGTTATTTTATGTAAACATTATGCCTGAACTACAGTACAATAGATAATCACTACAAGCACACAAACAAAATAAGAACATCTGAGAGTTCAAATACCAATATCAGAAAAATATTTCATCGCGTTTCTATCTTCCTACTCTCTGATCACATTTCAATAATAAATTATGTTTTATCAAAATTTATAAGTACATGCTTATTTATGTGATTACTTGCTAAATGCCTCTCTCCTTTAGAGACTATGAGTTTCAATGAGTAAATTGTCTATTTGAGCCTCTTAGTCTATAGTGGTGAAAAGGCTGAACTCTTTTGAACTCTAAACACCACATTGATCACACTTTTAGCATAGCACAGCTGTAGGGCATTTTTTGCCTTGACCTGGCCGAGCCGGGTTCAATTCCTCTGCCCCTCTTGGAGAGCCCAGCAAGCTACCGAGAGTATCTTGTCTGCACTGCAAAGCCTGGCAAGCTACCTGTGAGCATTCGATATGCCAAACACAGTAACAACAAGTCTCACAATGGAGACACTACTTGGCCCTCTTGAACAACTCGATGAACAATGGGAAGACAGTGCTACAGTTTCACCATCAGAAAGTGTACATATATTTCATCTGCTACCTACAATATCATTGTACATTAAACAAAACATTATTGTTACATTTGGATATAAATAAATTAATAGAAATATGAGGGATTTACACATTCATGTGCCTACTAAAAGGCACAGTCCAAACACAGCTTAGCATATTTTCTTTCACACTAGGTTGTTGCTGTAAATATCGTTAGGCAATCAAGTAATGAATAAGTAAATTAAAAAAATCTATTTTACTTTATTTAGCTCAAGAATAAATCCTTTTTACCAAATGCTCCCTAAAAATTTTAATCCACATTATATTAATTAAAACTGTTTGAATATATATAAAAATCAATCAATAAAACTATATTTCATTATAAAATATAGGTAAATAGAAAATACAAAGCATGAGAGATGAATCAAAGAAATATCTGCAAGTACTGCTGTATCATTTACAAAGAAAAAGGTTGAAAATAAAAGCTTTTTGAAAGCATAGTAATAATACATACTTTGAACAGCCTGTAAGAGCAGTCTATCATTGTCTTCTTCACTAGTTACAGCATCCTCATGTTCCAAAGAATCAATTCTGCAATTAGCATGTCATCATGATAAAATTAATTTTGTTTTGCAATTTTTAGTAGGGAAACACTTCCAGTTTCAAGTTAGCTCTCAAACTTGAAAGAAAGCTTAGTGATTATCTATCAAGCTTACCTTGTCTACAGTTTTATTCCACAGAAGCGTTGTCTATGTAAAATGAAGAGCTAACATTCATAAAACCTTACATGTAAAAACTTGCTTTGACCTTATACAAATTTTGAAAAATTTTCAAATTAAACATTTTGCTACTTTAGTGTTCATTAGGGCTGGAGTGATAGCACAGCAGGTAGGGCATTTGCCTTGCACGTGGTCAACCTGGGTTTGATTCCTCTGCTACTCTCGGAGAGTCCGGTAAGCTACCAAGTGTATCTCGCCTTCATGGCAAAGCCTGGCAAGCTACCCGTGATGTATTTGATATGCCAAAAAGCAGTAACAACAAGTCTCATAATTTGTTGTGAGACATTACTGGTGCCCGTTCAAGCATATCTATGAAAAACCTGAGGACAGTGACAGGACAGGACAATGACAGTGACAGTGTTCATTAATTTTCTACCCAATTAAAACTAGTAAATTTTAAAAAGTATTTTTAGCCTGCCAAGTAAAGGTAAAGGCCCTCCCGTTGATCGTCGATTTGCTCGAGTGGGCCCAGTAACGTCTCCATTGGAGACTTTGTTGTTACTGTGTCTGGCATATCGAAGACTCTTGGTAGCTTGCCGGGCTCTCTGAGAGGGGCGGAGGAATCGAACTCGGGTCGGCCGTGTTGGCCGCTTGTAAGGCGAACGCACTACCCGCTGTGCTATCGCTCCAGCCTGCCAAGTATAAAATATAAAAATGTTATCTTCAAAATAAAAAAAGCTATATTTACTTGAGCAGTATTGTAAATAATGAAGAACTATAGACTTTCTTATAGTAAATCTGTTAGCTATGGTCTCTAATGCACATGCAGTACACCTACAATTATAATTCTGAATTATATATAGCACCAAGGAAAACTTAACAGGAATAACACACATAGATTGCTATAATTAAATTCAATTTTATGTGAAAGCACTTTTGTCTCAGTATTATTTTGCATCACGCATAATTATTAATAAGTAAGTGCTGTAAGAATGTGGGACTCAGATGCAATTTTAATGGTAAAAAAGCACACCAAATTTGAGGAAATTGGTTATAATTTTAAACTGTATTCCATAATCTAAAATGTATTCCTTAGTAGCTAGCATTTAGTTCAATAAAAGTGTTAAAGCACAAGCATCTTCATTAAAACTTTAACATATGATAGAACATTCTTGATCTTCTTTTGATTGTAGCTATTAACAAACATGTATTTGAATGCAGGATAGCATATAAAATACACAAAAGAGCTGTCTGTAGCTTTTAAAAAATATTTGAGTATGTAAAATTTAAAGTTAAAATACTTTAGAATGGAATCTAATTTTAAGATAATTTTTTTTAAATATTTTCATTATATTTCAAAATGACAAATACATGTTTAACTTACTTGATGGAACTCAAACCTGCCTGATCAATATTTGTGATTCGAAGTACAAGTAATGTGTTTTCTTTTAAGCTTTCTGGAAGTCTGGGATGATCAGAACTCAAAAATGATAAGTTTGCACCCTAAAGAAATTAATAAATTAGTATTTAAAGGTATAAATTATTAAGAAGAAAAAAATTAATACCAATTTAAATATTTATCTTAATTGTGTTTCATGTTATACTCTTAGAATGATAATTATTAGACTTAGATTTATAGAACACATACATTTTGGTTGAAGATGTGGAAAAATGAGAGAACTAATTTTCCAACCAATTTATCAGTTAGAACAATCTTTCATTTATCAATTCATGTGAAAATAGTCAAATTTTTAAAAGGAATTAAAAAAAAGACAAGCTATTTCAATCAAAATTATTATAGCCCTAAATATAAAAATGTTATTGATCCACAGAAAGTTTTACTGAAGAATGATAAACAATGGTAGATTTGTCACATCCATAATAAAAATAATGTTTTTCACATGAAGAAATCAAACATTTCATACAGGAAAAACGAATGAAAGGAGTCAGAAAAATGGAGAACAATTAAGGGATGTATTTATAATACTCAAGAGACATATTTCTAAAAAGAAGAATATTGGGACTGGAGAGATAGTATACAAGGTAAGCACTTGCCTTGCACATAGCCAAACAAGGATCTCAGATTATCCCCTAAGCCCATCAGCAGTGATTCCTGATCAAAAGCCAGGAGTAAGTACAGAGCATTGCCAGGTGTGGCCCCCAAACAAAAACAAACAAAAAATTCCACGTCCTCTAAAAAGCATCATAACATGGTCTTTGAGGTTTAGTCTCTCCCCTCTACCTCCCTCCCCCAACCCCTCTCTCATAGAAATTATAAAGTGAGCAGAGTTCCACATCTGGCTTAAGCAATATGGAGCATGGAGAGAGGAGAGAAAATAAATCAAAAACTGTAGTAAATTATCAAAGACAGCAACTTAGAGCTAGAAGTAACTGTAATGTAGCACAAGCATTATTTTTGTTGGTTGTAAAATATGAGTTAGAAGTTATTTTCTCCTGATCTCAAGAGACAGGCATGAGTAAAATATATATTGTAAATTTCATCCAAATGAAAGTTTTCTTAAGCTCTAACCCCTCACCTAACCATCAATAGGTCTTATTGATCTATTTCCTTAAAGATTTTTTAAATGTTTTAATAAGGCTTCATAGCCACTGTGACTTAATATAAGCAGTAATAAATCTTCTTCTAGAATAACAAAATAAAATCTTTTTTCTATTCTCCACAGTTACCAAAGAGATATTTCTAAATTACAAGCCTGATATGTCACCTCTCCACATTCCAACTGCAGTTTAGTTTTCAATGATCTCCAAAAAATACTTAAGATGTGTCAACATAAAGCTACTCTCAATAAGCTCCCGCTCATTTCTTGCCAACTCCAGTCATAAACTGTATTTTCTAGCCAGACTGAACTAAGCACTTTTAGTTCTCCAAATAAGTCACTTATTTTTGTGTTTCTGTGTTTTGCACAAGCTCTCTCTTTCACCTGGAAACTTTTGCCCGCCACCTGGCATTCCTCATCTCAGCAAAATTCATTCTTTAGGTCAATGTTAGATGGCACTTTCTCCAAGAAATCTCTGGCCCCATAAAAATGGGTCATTGCTTTCCCTACCAAATCCTCCTATCCGACTATATCACGAAACCATAAACTGCACAAAAGCCAGGAATGGTTCTAATGAGGTGCCAATCCTTTGTCTATAGATATATCTTTCTACATGAATGATCACTGTGACTAGTGCCACATTTTAGTTATAAGGGTGAATATAATTCAAAGTGTAGGAGCATCATACAATGTAACATTGCCATCTACTGATTCTAAGATATCTTTGTGATTTATCATATGCAAAGAATAATAAGAGGTGAGAAAAATTACAAGGAGAACAAACAAAATCTTGGATATGTGACAGTCCCAGAAGCTGACACTTTTGCATATAGAGAAAGCTGAGCATCCTTAGAAGATAAGCAGGTTTTAGGGTGGAACATTACTCTGCATCCTTCAGCAGCAGCTACTTGCCACAGTAGCACAACCTTATACAGAAAATTTTAAGTAGCAGAATACAAGCTCCCTTGCTGAGAGATATTATGAAGTCTAGACATCATGCTACGATTCAGGTCCTTGATCTGAGACATAAGAGTCAGAACTGCCAGGGTAAACATCAACGATTAGCCACTCACATAAATGATTTTGTTTAGAAATCATGAGAGAAAATAAAATGAAGAATAGAATATTTATTCTTCCACCCCCATATTATTCTATAAACCCCAACATCTGCTATTAAGACATTTGCAAGTACATGCTTAACTCACAATATAAAAATCACCAAGTTGATACTGTTTTCCTTTCCTTCGTCCACACTGATGACTATAAATGTCCTTGTGAATAAAAGGAAGCACATTTGTTCTAGAAATTGAATGACAAAAAAGAAATGTAAAATTACCCAGTCTCTCTAGGAAGTAATTGCTTTGAACACTATAACAATGTTTTATTGCATACCTATTTTTCCCAAATCGCCGATATTCATAAATTGTAAGAGACTGATCATGAGTGAAAAAGAACCCAACCAGCTCTCTGCAAGCATCGTGTCCATTTCTGGAAAGACATAACAATATCAAAGAATTTCAAATAGAACAATTTTTGAATTAAATAATAAACTAGTCTGTCAAACAGGAATAATTTAACTTCCTCAAGAGTATGGCAAAAACAAAGTTATGAAGAGTCACAGGGAAAACATGCCAAAGTCTTAAGTCTCAATAACTTGAGTGGAGGAAAAAAAATTCTCTTGTACCAATATGGATATGGAAATATTAAAATATAGACAACTGGAGCTAGAGAGATAGTACAGTGGGTAGGGCATTTTCTTTGCATACGGCCAACCTGGCTTCAATCCCCAGCATCCCATATGGTCCTCAAACATTCCTCCAGGAGTTCATTCCTGAAGGTAGGCAGAGCCAGGAGTAATTCCTGAGCATGGCCAGGTGTGACCACAAAACAAAAATAAAATAAAATAAAATATAGACAACTATTTTAACAGATATTTAAAACAGAGGGGGAAAAAACTTTAGAAGTGGTGAACTTCGAAAGGCTGCTCATATATTTATTTTTGTCATAAAAGGCCCTCCCGTTGATCGTCGATTTGCTCGAGCGGGCCCAGTAACGTCTCCATTGGAGACTTTGTTGTTACTGTGTCTGGCATATCGAATACTCTCGGTAGCTTGCCGGGCTCTCCGAGAGGGGCGGAGGAATCGAACTCGGGTCGGCCATGTTGGCCGCTTGTAAGGCGAACGCCCTACCCGCTGTGCTATCGCTCCAGTCATAAATTTTTAAAATTTATTTTTTAATTAGTGAAACACCATGAGGTACAGTTGTAGACTTACAAACTTTCGTGCTTGGGTTTCAGTTATACAATGATTGGGTACATATCCCTCCACCAGTGCCCATTCACCACCACCAATGAACCCTCCCACCCCCTCACCCCATCCCCGCAACCCGCCCCACCTCTGTGGCAGGGCATTCCCTTTTGCTCTCTCTTTCCTTTAGGGTGTTGTGGTTTGCAATAGAGGTACTGAGTGGCCATCATGTCCGCGCTTCTGAACGCCAGCCGCCAGGACGCCGGCCTGGGGCACCTGCCTCCACTTTTGTCATAAAATTTTTTAAACTGATTTAACATATATAACAACTATAAGCGTATGTTATCATTAATATACTCAAAAAGACCAATTTGCACTATACACTGCTAGAGGCTTGTAATAATGAGGCAACAGATTTATTTAAGTATCACCTTCCTTGCCATTTTATTGCATCTATAAATAAATAACTACTAATTTGAAACTGTATTGTAAACCACAATGCCTAAAAGGAGAGAGAGACAGAGAGACAGAGAGAGACAGAGACAGAGGAAAAGTGTCTGCCACAGAGAAAGTCTGGGAGGGGTGTGGCGGGAGGGCAACTAGAGACCTTGGTGTTGGAAAATGTGCACTAGTGAAGGGTTGGGTGTTGGAACATTGTATAACTGAAACCCAATCATGAAAAACTTTAGAACTGTGTATCTCACAGTTACCTGATAAAAAAATTTTACTTGAGCAATTATGATAAAATTAATGCAGTTTTGCAGTTTTGATAAATGTTTAAAGTTTTCTACAAGTGATATTACTGTCACTGTCCTCCCGTTGTTCATCAATTTGCTTGAGCAGGCCCAGTAACGTCTCCATTGTGACACTTGTTACTGTGTTTGGCATATCGAATACATCACAGGTAGCTTGCCAGGCTTTGCTGTGTGGGCGAGATACTCTCAGTAGCTTGCCGGGCTCTCCGAGAGGGGCAGAAGAATCGAACTCGGGTCGGCCATGTTGGCTGCATGCAAGGCAAATGCCCTACCACTGTGCTATCACTCCAGTCCACAAGTAATATATACTTAAAATATTTTAATACAGCTTTGGAATCATATATATTTTTTTGTCACATGCAGCAGTAGTTGTGCACAAGGGTCACTCCTGCATTTCTCAGGGAGCTACTCCTGGCTCTATTCTTAGTGGTAGCCCTGACAATGCTCAGGAGATCAAGTGCCAAGAATCAAACCTAGGTTTCCTGCATCCAAATCATGTGCTCTAGCCTGTTGTCACTTCTCTGATTCCAAATCCAATTTTACTTTTGGTCATACCCAGTGGCGCTCAGGTATGGTCTTAGATTAGTGATTAGGGTTGCTCTTGGAGGTACTTGGGGAACCATTTGTTGCTGGGAATTGAAACAGTACTTCCTGTGTACAACCAAGAGATTAACTCACTGAGATCTCTTCAGTCTACAATACCTATACATTCATACTTCCTATGACTTTTGCAACACTGATTTATAGATATTACCCAAAATGTCCACTACAATTTACATTTTCACTTCATGTGACTTTATTTAACTATCACAATACTGCTATTTCTACTTAAAAATATAACTTTAGAAACATAAAATTTTTAAGTGTGAAATTACAATTACCTTGATATGATTCTGCCCTCAAACTGCACTTTATGAGAAAGCATTTTTTCAGTTAATGTAGAACGGGTTTTTATCCTGTTAAAAGAAATATATTTGTCATTAATTATGTCAGTCAACCATGTTTAAACAATAAGCTATGTTGATATTTTAAAAATCACAGATTGAGTAAAAATGAAAGAATAAAAATCCTCTTTTACTTCAGATTGCAAATTGTAGCAGACAAAAGAAATAATCCTGACTAGATATAACACATAGACTACTTTTATGATAGAACATATAATATCAAAGTCCCTAAAAGTATAATTTATTTTCTTAATTTTGTGAAATTAGAAGTGACAAAAGTAAACACTTCTGCCAATAAATTTACGATATAAACTTTCCTTCCTTCTGATAAGAAAATGGTGTGAGAAGAGTTTCTACTATGAGCTATGATGCTAACTGTAGCATTAGGCAATCATGTACCCATCAGGCAAGTGTGTCAGAATGAACAATAAGATGACAAGGAATCTAGCCCGAAGCTATGCCATCACTGAGCCACTGAATTAGAACCAACAAGTGACTAGCTGTAGGCAGCTGATTATATTAGACAAATAAAAATGACTGTTTCAGCCACTATCCATCAGATTTTTGGGTAATTGAAAACATTCCTTACTGAAAAAAGAACAATGGGAAAATAGTATTATAGTTTCCAGCTTTGGAAAAGGTCCAGCTATGAGTTTCAGATATGTTAGCCAATTTTTACAGTCTTCACACGGCACTGAAAGAGTTCACAAAGGCTATTAACACTAAGGTTCTGTTTAATAATATAAAGGAAAACACAAATTGGCATACTTTGGTTTAAAACTTTCTGGTTCATCTTACTATTAATAGGTAGTAAGATAATCCTTTAAATTAAGAAATTGCAAGATTCAGTAAGGTACCTTTATTCACGTTCCAAAATAACCATGATACAGCATAAGGCTGCAAAGTATAATGAAATTGTAATCACGTAAATAGTAAATGTATTCAGTGGGAGTAACTGAAAAGTTCCACGTCTATAAAACTGAGAGCTGTGAAAGCTCAGCAGAATACAGGAAATACGAACCTGAAAACCAAGTGAGTTTTGTTTATACAGAGATATAAAAGCTTAGTCATCTCAACCCAATTTAATCCATTGGTACTAATGTGTTTATAGGATGTCCATTATGTGCCTAAAATCATTAAAAACAGTGAAAAAATATTGTAATAAAAAAAGTATGAGCTCCTACTGTTTACTGATAACTTCCTAGGCACCATTCGTGGTTAAAATCACTCTAAGGATTTATTTAATGCTTGCAATAACTCTAGGAAGTACTATAACCCCCAACCAACAGAAAAGTTTTACAGTCACAAATTAACTAGATTGCCTAAAGCCATATATATATGTGTGTGTGTGTGTGTGTATATATATATATATATATTTAATGGTAGAGCCCAAAACATCTTTCTCATAACCATTATACTAGTTCCCAAAAGTGGATAGAATTCAGAGTTCAACAGTGATTAATTAAAGCTATAGGTTTCATGAATTTTAGCATTTTCTCAAAAGATATAAAATATAAATTGTGACTTATATTTAAAAGTGGAAAAACAGTAGGTAAGTTATTTGACTTGCTACAAAGAACCCAAGTTTTATCCCTGGCATGACATATGCTACCCTGTACCCATCTAGGAGTGATTGCTGAATCAGGAATAAGCCTTGAGCACAAACAAGTATGACCTCCAAACATAAACCAAAATGGAAAACTCCATATTGAGGCATTAGATAAACAATAAGTAGCATAAGATTTCAATACACAGTTTTTTAATCAGAACAGAAGAATCAGACTGACAGAAGTCAAAGTATGAATTTTAATTTTGAAGCCCTTGGAAAACATGTCTTTGTAATACAGAAACAGCATGCTAATTTTGGGGGGAACAGGGTTGGGTCACACCAACTAGTTCTCAGGGCATTCTCCGGACTCTGTGCTCAAGGACCATTTCTGGTGGTACTCAGAGGACCATAATAAGAGATCAAACCAAGGTCAGACACATGCAAGGCAAGAGTCTTAGTTCTTGAATTATCTCAGCCTCCCTAAAAAAACTAATACATTCTTTTGGAAGGAACAATGTAAGACTTAATAGAAAATGCTCCATCATACAGCTGGTTCCCAAGAGAGAAAAGAATGGGCCCAAGGACAACACATATCAATTCCTTCTTCCAACTCTGAAACAATAGTCTCTCAAGTGGGAAGAAAGAATGAGAGGAATTAAAACTATATAGAGAATTCTTATCAATAATTCTTTAATTCTTATCAACAACCCCATACAATTTTTCATGGAACCAGTTTATCAATCTTTCTATGTATCACAGTCATTTGTATCCTCTTTCAGAATCGATGGGATAGATCAATTGGTAGAGTGCTTTCCCTGCTAGACCGGAGGCATGTGTTTGATTCCTGGAATGCTCCACACAATGTCATTATCCTGGTATCACTGGAACTAAGGGTCCTTGTCCCCACTGGTGTACATTAAAATTGCTTCTAAGTCCCGAACAATGGTACAGTGGGTAGGGCACTTGCCTTGCACAAGGCCAGCCGGGGTTTGATCCCTGGCATCCCATTATGGTCCCCATATAACTTCCAGGAGCAATTCCTGAATGCAGAGGCAAGAATAAGCCCTGAGCATGACCAGATATAGCTCCAAAGCAAAATGAATAAATAAAAATGAAGTTGCTTCTAGGTTTTATTTCTATACAACCAAAAAGTTTCTAAACATTCTTCATAATTATCCGAAGACATGATCAAGAAGAAGAAAAGTAGGATAACGTAGGAAAAGATATGTCCTGAAACATAAACAAAAAAGCAGTGATACCTAGACTATTTATGTAAGTTTTACAAATCACTATGAAATGGATAAACACATTAAAATGACTATTTTGTTAGTCCTTTTGGGGGCCAGGACTTCTGGGTTTGTGTTTAGGAATCAATCTTGGTAAGCTCAAGAGACCATGCATTGTGCTGAGGATCAAATCCAGATTACAGCTTGCAACAGAAATGGGCTACAGGTTGTACTATCTCTCTGGCCTCAAGGGAAATTCTACACATGAGGATATTTAGATGACAAGATGACATTTAGATAGTATATAGGAACAAGTGTGCTCAACTTCTTTGTTTGCCAATAAATTGCAAATGAAAATCACCAGTATAATATACCTATTTTAAGCACTAAAATTAAATATGTAAACAACACCACACACTGGCTAAAATATGGTATATTCTTACTGCATATTCTCACTGCAACAGATAAGCATATCAACTGCAGCAACCACTTTAGAAAAGTATTTGGCAATATTTTTTAAATGCTGAACAGATGCGTCCTAAATGGTCCAGCAATTCCATGTTGCTAAGTATGAACTGAGCATAAATGAGTGCATATGTTCACCAAAGGCATACAAAAAGCTCATGGCAGCACAATTCATAAATAACCAAATTTCCATCAACATCTGTGAATAAATAAATTGTGGTATATTTAGACAATGAAATCTTGAACAGCAGTGTGAATACAAAACAACTCCAAATGACATCATTGATAAAATTCAAAAATATAAAGATGGCTAAAAGCAGTCAGATACAAAGCCCCCCAAAATGCTGTGATTTTTATATAAAATTTATAACCATATATTATAATCAACATTATCAGGATTGAAAGGTTAGCGGATTGTGGCACAGAAAATGGTAACTGAAGGGGCAGTGTTGGGTGTGTCTTTATCTAGGTGTATGTTCTGAAAATTCTAATGATGAATTTAAAAATTCATACATTTTGTGAATGCACATTTTACTTGAATTCAAGTTTACTTCTTTGTGTATGGGGGCGGGAGGGGGGCACACACAGCAATGCTCAGGAGTTACTCCTGGCTCTACACTCAGGAATTATTCCTGGAGGTGCTCTGGGCAACATATGGGAGCCAAGGATTGTACCTGAATCTGCAAGGCAAGTGCCCTACCTGCTGTACTATTTTTTCAACCCTCCAATTTACTCTTACAAAGAAAAGCTAGGCTTCCCATTTCTCCAATCAGCACATTGTGAGCATCTCATGGAGCATCCTATTATATATTAATTTCTTTTTTAAAATAAAATTTCTCATTTTCCTGCAAACAATTTTTAAAAAAATTTTAAAAAAGAAAAATTTGCTTGTCTTGCACACAGCTGACCCAGGTTCAATTCCTTATGGTCACCATTGCCGCTCCAGGAGTTCTGAGCATAGAGCCAGAGGTAAGCCCTGATCACTGTCTGGGTGTGTCCCCACCCCACCAAAAAAGTTTATCTGTCACAGTTAAATCCTGCAAGGTATTCATATATTAGTTCCAAGAATATAAATATGTTAGCTTATAAGATATAATAAAAGGGACTTTGCACATTAAGATAAGAAGCTTTAAATGAAAAAATAACCCTGGATTATCCAGGTACAATGCAGTCAAAAGTGCCTTTATAGGGCACACAAATGAACTTCGGACCCGAGCAACTTGCTGCAGAAATGGTCCTGGACTTTGCAATAGGCCGTTTCTGCTGGGCTACTCCAGATGGGGGCAGGTGCCATTCCACCACCTGCCCTTCAGGGGCCATGGCGGCCGCCATTTTCTAGAAGTCAGCGACAAGCTCCAGGTATGAGTAGCGGTGGCGGCAGACACCAGGCCTGCCGGGACTGGGGAGGAGTGGGACCTTCTCCTTCCCCTGCCCTGATGAGACTCTGAGAGGATGCCACATCCGGCCACCATCTACTTAAGCTCCCACATGGCCAAAATCCAGACACACACACACACACACGAATCTCAGACCCAAGCAACTTGCTGCAGTGATCTCTTCAGACCCTAATTATTAAAATTTAGCATTCCTAGAGCGCATGGCCATGTAACATTATATTGTATCCATAACAAGCAATACAAAACACATTATCTTGCATTGCCTTTCGGCAGGCATGAGTGGTGGTGGGACTGGTCTTAAAATATTGAAGGTAACTCTAGTAGAGAAAGAGAGTATTGTGCAAATTGTCTGCCACACAAGCAGGGGAAGGTGTGGAATGTGTGGGTGGGGGTGGTGATATTGGGGATTTTGGTGGTGGAAAATGTGCACTGGTGAAGGGATGGGGTGTTTGATGACTGTATGATAGAAACTCAAACATGTAAGCTTTGTTACTATACCTCATGCTGAATCAATTTTTTTTAAAAAAAGTGCCTGCATAAAAGAAAAGCAGAGGTATATGTGACTGCAGAGTGTTTCTCTGGCAAGTGGCATTATGGGTCAAGAGTCAAGGGATAGACAGCCTTTCTAAACTTAAAAAGAGAGAAACAAAACAAAACAAGAATCCACAAATTATCCCAGAAATCCTCCGGAATGAACACAGCCCCATTAAGTTTGACTTAGGTTTCTGACCTCAAGGACTACAAGTAAATAAGTAAATTTGTTTGATCTGAAAATACTGTTCATGGAAATTTCTTGAAGCTGCAATAGGAAGTTAATACACAGTATTAAAAAGTACTTAAATGTATTAAAAACCATCAGGTCCTCGATGGATGCATCTGATGCCAGCATACGTGGATTGAAAGTACAGACAATCATTTTTGTCTTTCTTTGTTTTGACAGCCTAGTTCGACCTTGAGATTTTATCAGCCTCTCCTTCCTCATCCTTCTCAACGCTGCAGTATTGGAGACTTTTTCAGGGTCAGGAGAATGAGACCCATTGTAGTTACTGGTTTTGGCATATTGAATACACAACAGATAGCTTGCCAGACTCTGCCGTGTGGGTAGAATACTATTGGTAGCTTGCCAGGCTCTCCGAGAGGAATAGAGGCTTTTGGAGCGGCCTGTAATCGCCTTTGTAGTTGATCCCATGGTTTAAAACATATTTAAACCCTATCAAATATGGTGCTGCAATCCTGGAAGATGGGTATTAAGTGTGTTATGATGTGTCCGAAAAGTGTGCTGGAGCATGGCAGCGGCTGGGTAGTGGAAGTAGTGGAGGTAGTGTAGGTTAGCCGGTGAAGTATTTATCTGGTACCAGTAGGGTGGGTCTTCTGTGCATAATCCAATCCTGGGTTGCAGGTGATTGGTGAAAGCAGACAGGGCAGGGTAGGGTGCGACTCCTGGTTTTAATCTCCTTGTCACCTGTGGTTGGTGGGAGCAAGCAACCCCTCTCTGTCCCTGGGTCCATTGAGCCTGGAGTACAAGGTCTCAGAGTTCCGCTTATCTTGTTCTGTGGGCCTTCACTCGTGTGTGAGTCTTGGCCCGAGCATCTGGAAAGCATCCTGGAGCATGGCGGCGGCTGGGTAGCGGAGATAGTGATGGTACAAGTGCAAAAGATCAAGCACGACATCATGGTCTGACGGAGACAAGAAGGCATCAATCACATCACGCCGTTTTTGACACTGGAGAAGAACTGTTCCTCAGAACATGCGACAAAAGAGGAGTCAGAGGCATCGCTGTCCTTGTCTTCACAAACTTGGCCATGAGCATTGATTCATTCGAATGCCTAACACCCGAATCGGACAATTACACTTGAATAGATGTGGCTCACTGCCAGCAGTTTCTATCTTCGTTGTCTACGCACCAACATCCAATTATGGTGAAGGAGAAATTGAGAAATTCTACATGGAGCTGGAGAAGTTCTATAAAGAAGACCACACCTTCTACAAGATCATTGTTGGTGATTTTTATGCCAAGATATGACCGAGAAGATCAGCCAAAGAACTCGACATGGGGACCCATGGTCTAGAATGCAACGAACAGGGTGAGAGACTGCCTGAATGCATCATGTCAACTAAGACGATCCATGGTAACTCACAGTTCCAGAAGGCCAAATATAAATGTTGGACATGGAGTCTCCTGGTGGACGGTTCCACAACAAAATTGACCACATCATATTCAATCAACGGTTTTGCCTGACTGATGTCGCTGTTGTCCCAAAATTCCAAATGGGATAGGACACCGTCTCCTTCATGAAAAATTCTACTTCACAGAGCAGGGAGAAAGGGATGCAAAGTTTAAGAAGAGAACTCCCAGAACGACCACCAACGGGGAGCACTTTGGTACTATTGCTGCAACATGGGAAGATGCCATCGTTGAAAACATTGACGAGGAATATGATCGACTGGTTCAGCACCTCCACCTCCACGATTGTGTGAGGAATGCCGAGAGAGATAGCCACAAAAAATGCCTGTCTTTGAAAACTCTTGAGCTTATTCACCAACGTGGTTTGGTGCATGCCTCAGGTAACTGCAAGCAAACATCCGAGCTCACAAAGCAGTGCAGAGATGTGATAAAGGAAGACCACAAAGAGAAGAGCAGCAGTGCTGGTGATGTGGCAGAAGCTGGGAAAAACATTCATAATGCCCTCCTGTCCTTCGCCAACTACAAGACCAAGATGACTGCCCTCCAACATCCTGATGGATCTATCACATCTTCCAGAAGGGCAATGGAGAAGATTATGCATGACTTGTACTCAGATCTCTTTGATAGCCACGTCCACCTGCCCACATACCAAATTCTGCAGGATGGATATGTCATTCCCAACATTCTCCCTTCCAAAATCCGACATGCCATTTTGTCGGTAAAGAAACGAGCAGCACCTGGCCCAGAAAAGGTCAGACCTGAATACCTGAAGAACTTGCCGTCAGTACTCACCAATACACTGGCTCAGCTCTTCACACACTACCTGTCTGAATGCAAGGTTCCGTCCCAATGGAAAACCAGCAGGACTGTACTACTGTTCAAGAAGGGAGACATCCATGTCATTGGCAACTATCGCCCGATTTGCCTATTGTCTGTCATCTACAAGTTGTTAACTCAGGTCATCCTGAATAGGATTGGCAGAACTCTAAATGAAGGACAACCATGCGAGCAAAATGGGTTCTGCAAAGGATTCAGCACAATCGACCATATCCACATGATAACCAAGCTCATTGAGGTTTCTTGGGAGTTTCAAGATGCTGCTCTGTCTAATGTTCATTGATTTAAAGAAGGCCTTTGATTCTGTTGAGACAGAAGCGGTCAGTGAAACCCTAGCCAATCAGGGCATTAATAGTCAATACATCAGGATCCTCTGTGAGCTGTATTACAGATTCACTACCAGGATCTCACCATTCTACAAAGAAGTGATCATCGATGTCAAGAGAGGGGTTCGGCAGGGTGATACTATTTCACCGAAACTCTTCAGTGCCACCCTTGAGAACAGCCATGGCTCCAGAGGAAAAAGGACTTAATCCAGAGCCCGGTAACTTATGGCAGAAAAGTGAATGGACCATGTGTTAAACTACAGCGCTATGCCTCCCCAGGAGGGAAAAGGAGTTGCTCTCTTCCACCTTTCCCCCTCCCCCCCCCCGGCAGTAGGTAGCTTCTGCCTCAGAGCTTATAGGAAAGCCAGGTATGAGTCAGCGGTGACGGGGCACCTTCAGTCTCATGGGCAAGGGGGGGCCATACCGGCTCATCCTTCACACCCTACCAAGGTCACGAGTTGCCCCCCATGAGTGGCTCTCCAGCACAGCCATAATACCAGACATACGGAAACCAATCTCGTAATTATCTGGCTCTTTGCAGAAATCCAGAATCATCATATGATTCTCATAACCAGCTATAGAAAACAAAGTATTTCACAATGCCTTTTCAGCAAATCTGATTGTTGGGGGGGGGGGGAATTCTAAACAATAATGGTGCATCTTTTCTTGAAATAATGAATGTAATCAAGGTAGAGAAGAGTTAAGTGGAAATCATCTGCCTCACAGGCATTGGGAGGGGTGGGGGGGGATATTGGGATTCTTGGTGGTGAAAAATGAGTACTGGTGAAGGGAGAGATGTTTGATCATTGTATGACCAAGACTTAAACCTGAAAGCTTAGTAACTTTTCCCACAGTGATTCAATAAATAAATATAAGAAGAATAGGAAACAAAGGCTTAGAGAAAGTAAAATAGGAAAAAATGAAAATTAAATCCATAATTATTTTTAATTTAAAAAAGGCTAGGAAGATAGCTCAAATGGGTGAAATGCATGTTTTACATGTGCACAAAGGCCCAAATTTAATTTCAGACATTGAATTTTCCCTGTCCCAAGAACTGCTGGATAGAGCTTTGAGGCCACTGAGCAACTCTGGGCCCAAAGCACACTGCATTACCAAACCCGAGCCCCAGACCTGAGGGCCAGTATAGCCAGGAGTGGCTCCCAAGCACCTAAACATTGTTTGGGAGGGTTCCTGTAAAAAACTATCACAAGTTAAGTCACTGGTTAATAATTAAAGACATTTGGAAAGAACTACTCCAAGAATTGTTAGTTTTTCTGTCTGTTAAAATTGGTGGATGTATCAATTATCAGTAAGGTTAATGAACTGCATTTGAAGACCAAACCAGTCTACGTAGTTCATAAACTAGAAAGTAAAATGCATATAAAATGACTTTTCAACAATACTGATTTTAATATAACATTGAGATCTAACCACTGGAGCACACACGCATCTCCTCATATATTCTAAATTTGCAGAAGTTATTCTTAAACTACAGACAAAAAATGTGAAAGGGAGAAGAATGGAGTTACCCCAATATTTAAAGTGACAGAACTTGTGCCAAAAATAAAAACTTTCCATCTCTTTTATTTGATAAAAAGTAAAATAAGCAAAAAGTCTTTTCAGATTCAAAAATACATTCAAAAATATATTTACAACCTCAACATTTTACCAAAATATAACCTTACTTTGTTTCATGTAGTGTTCTTTTTCTAAATCGAAGAGGTGCTACCTTTGAATCTGGAAGGACACAGGTATTTTCTTGTTTCTCAGAGATTACATTTTGCTCTGGATCACTGATTACAGCCCTATATAGGAAAATACAAAATCTTACAGTTAAACATGGTGATGTACCATTCTAGCATTCATAGATTAATAAAGAGTTGGAACAGTTCACATAGACATGCAAATTTCTACTGCTGGCAGAATGAAGGTTTTATCAAATATTGGGCAAATAAATTTAATAATTGAATCATACTGGTCATAGGCTAGAGAAAGAATTCAGCACACTAGAGCACATGTTTTATACACAGGAGGCCCTGATATGATCCCCCAATGATGCATCACTGGACACTGCCAGAAACAACCACCATGCACAGAGACCGACCATGTGCTAGATACAACCCTTCAGAAGTCAATGTAGAAAATAAAATCTTCATGGGATTCCATGTATAAGGACAAGGGAGATGAACAGGAGTCCAGAGAAGAGAGGGAGGAAAATTGGCCAACGACACTGTGCTTGAAGCCAAATCCAACAAACAAATAAAATTTTTCTGAGAGCAGTGTTCAACCAAGACTGATGTTGCTGATGATCATGTAAATAAGAACTGAGAAATCTCTATTGATCTCACAACATGTCAACCACTGGTTATCTTAGGGAGAGACGTTTTGGTATTATGGTGATGATGAAAAACTAAATAGTGAGATACTGGAAGAGATATATTAAATGCATGCATATGTTAATACTCAAATATTTTATCAGAATAAATTTACTAAGAGGTTGTGTATGGCAGAGCACATAGAAATAGCTCCAAATAGGGTTGGAGAAATAAGCCAGGGGTTAAGATGCTTGCCTTGTATGCAACTGTCTCTGGCTCAACATCCCATAGGGCTAATTCCTGAGCACTGTCAGAGCAAATATAATCAAGAACATCAAGGAATTAATTGGAAAAAAAACTAACTTTTAGAATGTTATCTTTTTTATCCCACTTAACTAAAAATTACATTTTTAAAAAACATAAATTGTCTTGAAGACTTCCAAGACTATTCTGAAGTCTTCTGGAAGTCTACACTAAATGCATATTTTTGCAAACCTCAACTTAGCAGAGCAGGTATTAAAACTTAGTTTTCAAGTCTTCGAATTTTTCTATTAGATTAGTCTCAAAGTTCCCAAAGTATGCACTAAGGAGGACAATGGGGAACTCAAAGACAATGTGAGATATATTTTATTTGGTGCGAAGGGCCCTTCCAGTGATAGAGCCAACCAAGTTCAGAGGTGCAATGTAATACTGCCTACTGCCAATGCAATGCTTCTTGAGTCCTGGAATGCCAAGGACCACTAATTCCACTCTAGCAGTCCTCCAGAGCCACAAGGGTCACAACCAGTGGTGGTGGTGGTGGTGGGGAATGGGGGTTGGGGGGCTTAAGAGATATCACCAGTGATGTTCAGGGGCCAGGCAGGGGCAGGAGGTTCTAAGAATCAAGCCAGGATCCCAGATATCTCGCAAGCCCTATTTTTTTAAATTTTTTTTTATGGTGGTGGTACTGGTTTCGGTAGGGTGAACTAGTGATAGCAGTGGTGGACCCACCCTAATTTTTGAGGGAGATAGATATAGTAACAACCTTTATTGGACAGCATGAAAACTACTTCGTTGAGGGTAATTCACAGCTCCACTCAACAGAAAAGCATACCACAGTCCTTTGATGATGGAATTTCTTCAGTAATGCAAAGCTGCATTTTTTATAGTTGCTGTGATTAAAAAGAAAGTTCCATGTGAAAATTAAAGTGGGATAGGCAGTGAGGAGGGGAGCATCCTAAACGACTCTAAGGTAAGAGAGACCATAGTGTCCGACAATTGCCCACCTCCATTAGTAAAGAGCTATGATTATTTAAGAATTAGATACTTTTTTCCTTTCAATGTCACTATAGGATTTTTTCAAATAGCCATCAAGTTGTTAGTAGTAAACACTTAATTGCATTCTTAGGTAGTGAATATTTAGTAAACAGCATCATTGTCTACTTCTATCATCCCAGGAGTGTTACTAAACACTATAAATGCAGTGAACAGAAAAACCTGGGAAGCTCTGAGTGACCATGTGTTGACCAACTATGGACATGGGTGTCATTCATAGGAAAAGAAAAAGAAAAAGAAAAACAGGCTCAGTGAAAACAGGATGTTCTCTAGACCAGTTGCTCTAACCTGGATAAGAGGTCCAGCATCACTTGCTCAGCAACAGCTTGCTGCTTCTTTTCTGCAGCCACAATTTCCTGAGAAGAGAAAATTATATTTTACAAAGTCATGTTCCATAAAGAAAACACGAGAGTCTTAAAACATAAATCTCTATGATTTCTTCCTCAAGTATAAACAACTATAGTCACCATTAATGATGTCAAATTTTAATTAATCATGCTGCATTTCCTGAAAAAATGGATTTAAATTTCTATTAAAATCCTCACAAATTTCTAACTGCCTTTGCATTTTTCAGAATGAAAGAAGAAAAGATGGATGCCGCTCTCTTGGAGGGACACCCAGTGAAGTCACAGCTCTGAGTTCTCCACCCTAACGTAGTTTGGTCTAAAGAAATCACAGTAAAGGTTGGAGAGATCGTGCAGGGATTCAGGCACTAGCATTGCACAGACTCCTGTTTGATCCTTGGAATCACATATGGTTCCCTGAGAACCACCAGAAATGATCCCTGATTGCTAAGCACAGAGCAAGGAGTAGGTTCTAAGTACCACTGGGTATAACCCAATAACCACCAACCTCCCAAAAAGTTTTCACAATAGTTGAGACTGAAATTGAATTTAAACCATTAACCTGTTTATCACAAACCTGGGGGGAAAAAAACTTCCCATCATGAAAAGGATAATGAATATGATCTATTACCAAATAGTATTATCTTTCTCAATTACTGAGTTGGTCGACTGTCTTTATACTCTTCTAACACATTTTGAAGTGTTTTTAATGTGCTGTAAGGTACATTATGTTGAAATATTTATCATTTAAATGCAGTTAGATAAGAATACAACAATAACTGCTATTTATTTACAAAGGTAAATGGAAGATTACAAATTAAGAAATAAAAATTGTTCTATTGTTAGCCTCCTAATTTCTGCCACCTTAATTTTCTGTTCTCAATAATCATTGTAATAAATGACATCAAGCAAGATAATATTGATTTAAAAAGACGTTTTGTGGCTCCAGAGCAATAGTACAATAGATGAGGCACTGGTCTTGCATGTGGTCAACCCAAACTCAATCCCCACTACCACATATGTTTTCCTGAGCACTGTCAAAAGTGACCCCCAAGCACAAAGTTAGGACTAACCCCTGAAAACGTAGTCAAAACAAACAAACAAAAAGTTTTATAACCTAGGTAAGAGTGCTCTATTTGAAACAAAAATTAAGAATGAGTTAAAAAAAAGAAATCACAGAAATTAAAGTTAGAAATTCCTAAAACCCCAACAAAGATGGGTATGTTAAATAATAGTCTATAATGGAAAATTTTTCTGTTTGGTAGAAATTCAAAATGCATAGTATAGCCCTTAATAATATGTGTCTCACACATAAATATATTTTGAGGTAGAAATTTAAGATGCAAAATAGTTTATAGTCATCCAAACATACCCCACATAAAGTTCATATCATTATATGTATCTTGTGTGCCCTAAGCTTATAACATTATTTTTGTCTAGTAATTAGAAGTTAGAATTTTAGAAAGACTGTACAACTTAGAGGTAAAGTAAGAAATTATTAATACTAAGGACGATCCTGAAAATGAAGAGACTAAAACACAAACGAATAGGCAGAATATATCCACATCAGTCAGATGTAAAACCCAAAAGCAAGCAAAAGAGAAGAGATTTATAAAGTGCACATTCAGTTTGGACACTGATACAATGACCTTCTCATCAATGATAATAATATAAAACTGGTAAAAATCAATATTGCTATATTATGGACTTCTAGAAAAAGTTAGAACCATTCAGGCACACTAAATTAGTGGATGGGTAAACATAAAGCAGATTAGAAGCAAAAGACGCACTACTATCAAGGATATGGAAACTGTGATGATAGAAGTAGAGACAGACATAAAAGTAGAGACAGAAATAAAAACCTGAGGTTTGGCACTTGCCCACATTTCTACCTGAGATATGAACTCCCTTTCTTTTACCCTCTGGACTCTGTGACTCTCATCTGTCTAAGATGTGGACTTCCTTACTTCCAGGCATGTTTCCCCATTGAGAAATGATCCATACTTTGCGCTTTCCAATCTGGGAAAACCCATGTTCTCTCTTGAGTTTGTATCTCTCTTTCCCTTTCTCTATTTCCCAAATAAATATTGTCTTGTATCACAAAAGCAAACAAGTAAACAACAACAAAAAACCTAAGTTCATTGTTTCTATGTATATTTAAATACTTACAAATTAAATTAAGAATTTCCTTGTACCTTTAAAAATAAATTATCAGTATTTATTTCAGTAGATTTCATTCATTTACATAAATATTTCCTTGAAAAAAATTAATGAGGACTAGAATAATAAAGTAATATGCAGTTATGATGAATTTGAACATATTGCCATTAATAAAGTAGTTGTAAGAGAAAGAAGTCCACTAGACCACATGACTTTGGATTATACAAAGAATAATACATACTGGGTTTTAAGAATTGCTAATATTCTGTTCACAGATAATTTAGGGAATAAAGTACATGAGTCATATGGAACAGGATTTTGCCTTATATTTTGCTCAGGATTTTTTGTTTTGTTTTGTTTTGTTTTTATTTGTTTTGGGCCCACACCCAGCTGTGTTCCTGGCTTACTCCTGGCTCTGTGCTCAGCAATCACTTCTTGTGGGGGTCAGGAGATCATATGGGGTTCCAGGGATAGAACTCAGACTGGATGCATGCAAGGCAAACACCCAACCCACTTTCCTATCATTCTGGTTCCTATTTTACCTTATAAAATAGCATCTGTTTTGTTGTTTGCTTTTATTTGGGGGCCATACCTGGCAATACTCAGGGTGAACTAAGGAATCACTCCTGGTAGTGCTTAGCAGACCACATAGGTTGCCAAAGATTGAAACCGGGTCAACTCTCTGCAAGGCAACACCAGCTGTACTAGCTCTCTGTCCCTAAAGGAGTATCTTTTATGTTAAAGATAATACTGGTGAGAAAAATATCACTTGATCACTTGATATCCCGTTACTCATCGATTTGCTCAAGCGGGTGCCAGTAATGTCTCCATTCATCCCTGTTGCGTGCTAGCGTAGCCCAATGTCATCTGCTCGTTCTAGGAACATGAAGACCCTCAAACCTATCGTTCAGGGTCTTGATGAAGAAGTCTGACCATCTCTTAGGTGGGCAGCCACGCAATCTTTTGAATCCCGCGGAATCCAGTCAGTAATGGCTCTAGTCCAGCAGTCATCTCTAAATCGAATTACATGTCCAGCCCATCTGATTTTCAACGCTTTGGCAAACAAGACAGCGTTACTTATTCTTGATCGTCAACGGAGGTCAGAACTCCGAATTCTTTCTCTCATTTGAGTGAAGTGTGATACTCCAAGCATAGATCTTTCGATTCCTCTTTGAGAGACCCAAATAGCGTTCTCATCCTGTTTTTGTAGGGCCTAGGTCTCTGAAGTGTATGATAATGCAGAAAGAACAGTGGAATATAAGAGATGTGCTCGGAGCTGGAGGTTCTTCATCCTCTTAGCTATTTCTTCAACGCTCTTGAAGGCGTTCCAAGCCGCTCTCTTCCTCCTGCACAACTCAGGTGCCAGGTCATTCGTCATGCTGACTTCTCAACCTAGGTACACATAACTGTTGCATTCAGAGATGGTCATTTCGTTGAGAGTGAATGGAACGTCAGGAACAAGACTGTTTCTCATGAACATTGTCTTTGTGAGATTCAGCTGTAATCCGACCTTTCTATACTCATGGTCCAAGTCAGTCAGTATTTAAATTATATTAAAAAAATATAAATATTCAAATGTAATATAGAAAATAATGTGCATATGGTTTGGGTAAATATATATATATATATATATAATAACAGGAACCTGTAACAATAGAGCAGCTATAGTGGTTTCCTAGCACAGGGATGACCAGGGTTCGATTTCCCAGAACCTCTTTGATCCCTAAAGCTCAGTCAAGAAATATCCCTGAGCAAAGAACCAGGAGTAAGCCCAGAGCACTGCTGGGTGTGGCCCAATATGATATATGTATATATATATATATGTACACAAATATATATACGAAAACAAATTAACATCTACAGAAAACTATCCACCTGGTTTACTGATTGATTATATATTATTGTAGACTCAAAATGTAGTCTGAAGCCCCAAAAAAATATACAATGAACTTCTCATCAATGATAATAATATAAAACTGGTAAAAATCAATATTGCTATATTATTATTTTAGCTACACAAAACTGTTTTTCCAAAATTCTTATATACCACAAACTGGTATTTTATCAATCCAATATTGATATGTCTAAAATCTGACTCATTAGGGAGGCCAATGGACTCCACATTAAGCAATCTGGCCTGATTACCCTCAGACACTATAAAAATGTAATTATCTTTTGTAACCAAACTGATCTAAGTGACACTCATCAAACAAAAGACATATAATATTAACATTAAGAATCAAGAATTTTTCCTAAATAAAAAAGCTTTATTAGTAATTTTTTTCCTCACCACATAGAATTTCTTTAATTTTATTAACTTAAGACTTTAACCAGATTACTTTGGTTAGAAGGATGCTGCCCAAAAGATTCACTATTATAACCAAAAAGCCAACAAAACTGAACAGCATTAAACCAAATTTATAGCACAGCGGGTAGGGCGTTCGCCTTACAAGCGGCTAACATGGCCGACCCGAGTTCGATTCCTCCGCCCCTCTCGGAGAGCCCGGCAAGCTACCGAGAGTATTGAATATGCCAGACACAGTAACAACAAAGTCTCCAACGGAGACGTTACTGGGCCCGCTCGAGCAAATCGACGATCAACGGGAGGGCCTTTACCTTTACCTTTACCTTTACCTCAACAAATCAAGAGAATTTTTCCATATTAAATTCACCATTTGTAAAAAATCAGAATTCAGTTCATACATTAATAAATGTTTAACTTAATCCAAATTTAATTTCTGTCATTATTTCATTAAAAGATTATAAAATACCAGAGCAAATTATCTTAATGGCTTATCAAATAAACAAAAATACTGACTTACAGCATGAGATTTTCTTGTACTATGTTGCAAATTGCAAGGGTTATCTGCAAATCCCAACTGTAAGAGGACTTTCCTATCAAGACTTGTGAGGTCATCCACAAGGTCTTCTTCATACTGTGTACACTACAAAGAAAAGCAATCAGCAAACACACACACACACACACACACGCACGCACGCACATATATATAGCATATTATTATTCTGATGAAAAGTAAACTTTAGTATTTTATTATAATAATCTCCTCTTTACGGCCATAATAAACTATGTTTTAAAACTTTTCAATACTAAGAATGACTTTTCTTATATGTTTGTGAAAAGCCATTAATTCATTAAGTTCACTTTGTTCAAAATTCATGGATGTGAATTTATATCTAATTAGTATTCTATGAAAACGTAATAATTCCAGTAACTTACAGTTAAAAATTATCTCCCAGAGTGAAGTACAAGAAAGTGATCAAGTGACAACAGTCTTAGCAAAAACTAAGATCATTCTAAAGCCAAAACCAACTTTTCAACTTCAATATTTAGAATTTGAGACCAAGAGAGTTCAGGAAAGCTATATGTAAAATTCTTCTTTCTAATTCAAAGAAAAATGGAAACTACTGACAGAAGAAAAAAGATAACTATATCATCTGATTAAAATGGTCAATATTGAAAATGGGGATAATAACCCCTTTCTGTTGTGAAGAATAAGCTAGTTAATGCAAGAAAACATTTACAATAATCACTGATACAGAAGATACTATGTATGAGTAACAGCAAGACATATCAGAATTTAAAAATCTTTCCATAACATACCTACTGTTTTATTTTATAAGAATTTTATAAAGCTACATCTAGTACCTTGTCTTCTATCTTGTGTCTTAGAGACTGCTGATGTGTAATACTTGACTTTATTTTTTCTGCATTCTTCTGACTATACTGCTTAGATCCCTCTTTTATTTCACCTTCATATTGCTGATATTTTGGTTTATATTTGTCTGTTGGAGGTGGCAAATTTCCAGATATTATATCTTGCTCCTAAAAGTAAAAAATAACACAGTTTATTCACCAAAACAACCGAAGTAACTACTCAGTTTCTTTATAAAAATATACGTTACTCATTTGCCTTCTGGTTTATGCCACTGCAATTTATGTTCTAATCAAAGATAATATTTATAATTTTTTCAGTGCCAGGAATTAAACACAGGGCCTCAAACATGCAAGGACATAGGATAACATTCGTTTGTCCTTTCTGCCTTGCCACAGTGAGCATAGGTTTATTGGGCTACCCCCACCAGAGTGTTCCCATTCCTCTGTATTTACTTGTAATCTTTCTTTGTGCTCTGCTTCCCTAACCTGTCAATCACCTTTATCTCCTAATCAGACTCTGTTAATGTGTAAGTATTACTTTTTTCTTATCCTTAAATCCTTCGCATAGTTAATTCAGAGTAATGTCCTTTTTGTATGGACACAGGAAGACAGTTAATGTTATGCTTTTGTAACTTAGGAGTTACAAAATAGCAAACTTCAATCAGTAGTTTACCTTTTTTGTTTTTTTAAGGGGTAGAGCAATAGCACAGTGGGTAGGGCATTTGCCTTGCACTGGCCTACCCGGCCAGCATGAGTTTGAATTCCTCTGCCCCTCTCAGAGAGCCCAGTAAGCTATCGAGAGTATCTCGCCAACATGGCAAAGCCTGGCAAGTTACCCGTGACATATTCGATATGCCAAACACAGTAACAACAAGTCTCACAATATTACTGGGCCCACTGGAGCAAATCAATGGACAATGGGAGGACAGTGACAGTGACAGCTTTTGTAAATTCTGGATTCCTACAAAGATAAATGTGTATTTTTACCAATTTCATGAGAAAGTTTTAAAAAGCACCCCTATATAAGAATAAAATGTAAAATAAAGTAAAATGATTTTATAAGTAGTATTGTTCTGGATTGTAATACGTAAAACAAAATACAGACATAACATTTTTGAAATGAATAAAGTGCTAGAATTTACACTGTAATTGTGAAAGTTGGTAATAAATACATTCTAACCAGGTTCATTTAGATTATGTTGAGTATGTAGTATTTGACATAGTATGACACAGCCAAGAGTTAATTAATCTGGTGGGTTAAAAATCAATATTCAGTATACTAATTGGAAAATCTGAAATATCATTCTAAAGTAAAATTAAGTGTAACATTATGTATATAACACTACATTCAAATTGTTATATTAAATACCAAGTAAAAGTTACCTCATCATCAGAGTCAACAAGGCTTCTCAAATCGAGTCGTGGGACCCTGAAAGTATGCATCCCATAACATTAATAAATGAGACTTTAATATACATACACATATACATATATACATATATACATATATACATATACATATATATGGTCTGTCTTATTTATGTCATTCGTTAAATTCAGTAATTTCTGAGTTGAATGTAGATAATGCATTATTTAAAATATCTATTGAAAACAAAAAAATTCTCAAAAACATAATTTTACAAATTATTTTATTGTATTTCATTACTATCTGTGTTCTTGAGGTTATTGAAAGCTACTTTAATGATAATCATCAAATTTAATGTTGCACTGTACCATCGATTTTCTTGAGTGGGCACCAGTAAAGTCTCACAACAGATTGTGAGACTTCTTCTTACTGTTTTTGTTTTGGTTTTGATTTTTTTTATAATTTTTATTACTGAAACACCATGAGGTACAGTTGTGAACTTACAAATTTTTGTGCTTCGGTTTCAGTTATACAATGGTCAAGTACCCATCCCTCCACCAGTGCCTATTCCCCACCACCAATGATCCCAGTATCCCTCCCACCACACCATACCCCCCATCCCACCTCACCTCTGTGGCAGGGCATTCCCTTTTGTTCTCTCTCTCCTTTTGGGTGCTGTGGTTTGCAAAAGAGGCACTGAGTGGCAATCATGTTCGGTCTATAGTCTACTTTCAGCATGCATCTCTCATACTGGGAGGATCCTCCCAACACCCTTTACTTGGCGCTCCCTTCTCTATCTGAACTCCCTTTTCCCCTAGCATGTGCGGCTGGCCTCCAAGCCATGGAGTGAATTTCCTGGTACTTATCTCGGCTATTCTTGGGTATTAGACTCCTATTTTGTTACTTTATATTCCCCAGATGAATGCAGTCTTTCTGTGTCTGTCCCTACTCGGATCAGGGCTGATCATCCTCCACCCAGATACTCCATCTTCCAGTAGGCAGGGGTCACACCCACCAACTGATCCCTTGGCACCGTGTAATCCTATCTTATTATCTCATTCTTACTTTGGACAACCTGGCAGGCTACCGAATGTAACCTGCCCACATGGCAGAGTCTGGCAACTTCCCGTGGCGTACCCAATATGCCAAATACCAGTAACAATGATGGGTCTCATTCTCCTAACCCTGAAAGAGCCTTGAATATGGCTCCTTAAAATCTCAGGGCTAGGATTAAGGAGACGTTACTGGTGCCTGCTTGAGGCAATTGACGAACAACAGAATGGTCATAATCGTGATCGAATAGTACAGCAATGAACATAGAAGTGCAGATGTCATTTCGACTGTACTTTTTTGCCTCTCTGGGATGTATTCCCAGGAGTGGTATTGCTGAGTCAAATGGGAGCTCAATTTCTAATTTTTAGAGAATTGTCCATACTGTTTTCCAAAAGGGCTCAACCAGTCGGCATTTCTACCAGCAGTGAAGGAGAATTCCGTTCTCACCACATCCACGACAGCACCGGTTGCTTTTGTTCTTTTGGATGTGGGCCAGTTTCTGTGGTGTGAGATGATATCTCATTGTTGTTTTGATCTGCATCTCCCTGATGATTAGTGATGTACAGCATTTTCTCATGTGCCTTTTAGCCATTTGGATTTCTTCTTTGATGAAAACTCTCACCAAAATGGGTTTTGAAATAACTTTTCTCAAGACAGTCAAAGCCATCTACAACAAACCCTTGTTAACTGTTTTTGGCATACTGAATACATCACAGGGAGCTTGCAGACTTTGCCGTGCAGGTGAGATACTCTGGGTAGCTTGCTGGGCTCTCCTAGAGGAGCGGAGGACTCAAATCCTGGTAGGCTGGGTGCAAGGCAAACGCCTTACCTGCTGTGCTAATTTAATGTAATTATAATAAAATGTTAGGTATATTTCTACTTAAGTCTGTGCTCAGTGATGTTACTTATAGTCCAAAAATCAGCTATGATGAAATTATTTACACCAAAATTAATAAATGCTATGAATTAGGATCTGGGCCGGATCGATAGCACAGTGAGTAGGGCATTCGCCTTGCATGCAGCCAAAATGGCCGACCCGAGTTCGATTCTTCTGCCCCTCTCGGAGAGCCCGGCAAGCTACCGAGAGTATCTCACCCGCACGGCAGAGTCTGGCAAGCTACCCGTGACGTGTTCAATATGCCAAACACAGTAACAACAAGTCTCAAAATGGAGACGCTACTGGGCCCGCTGGAGCAAATTGATGAATAACGGGAGAACCGTGACCGTGACCGAATTAGGATCTGATTTACTATTTTTTTAGGAGCAATAGCACAACGGGTAGAGTGTTTGCCTTGCATGTGGCCGACCTGGGTTCGATTCCTCCGCCCCTCTCAAAGAGCCCTGCAAGCTACCGAGAGTATCCCGCGCACATGGCAAAGCCTGGCAAGCTACCCATGACATACTCAATATGCCAAACACAGTAACAAGTCTCACAATGGAGAAGTTACTGGTGCCCACTCGAACAAATTGATAAACAACAGGAGGACAGTGCTACAGTTAGCTTCTCAAACTTAAGACACTGTTAGAGAAAACATTAACAGGCCAGATTAAAGTTTAAAGTGCATCATGTCTACATCTGTTATATTGCAAGTACCAAAATCCTGAGAAACCATTGTTAAAGTACTCAAAACTAATATTTAGTTCAATAAAATAATCACTCACATTTTACTACACTAAATGAAAAAAATCGACAGTCATGTAGGAGTTACTGTGGTTCACTGATTGTTGCTTATGTGACACAAAGTTTATCTAAAACAAAAAAGCATTTCATACAAATCACTTGACTACATAAAATTTTCAAAATTTGCTGGAGCGATAGCACAGCAGGTAGGGCATTCGCCTTACAAGCGGCCAACATGGCCAACCCGAGTTCGATTCCTCCGCCCCTCTCGGAGAGCCCGGCAAGCTACCGAGAGTATTCGATATGCCAAACACAGTAACAACAAAGTCTCCAATGGAGACGTTACTGGGCCCGCTCGAGCAAATCGACGATCAACGGGAGGGCCTTTACCTTTACCTTTACCATATATCTATTATATGAGTAAAATTTGTAGTCTCACTAACATATACTTAATTTTATTTATAATTCACAAGTAAAATTTATGATTAGCTGGAGTGATAGTACAGCAGGTAGGGCATTTATTTGCCTTGCATGTGGCAGACCCAGGTTTGATTCCCAGCATCCCATATGGTCCCCCAAGCACCGCCAGGAGTAATTCCTGAGTGCAAAGACAGGAGTAACCCCTATGCATTGCCAGATGACCCCCCAAAAAGCAAAAAAATAAAAATAAAATAAAATAAAATTCATGGTTTATTTAGAACTACTTTCAGAATATCAGTTGGCAAATATTTATCAGCACACAATTGATTTTTATATACTTGATATCTTGTATCTAGCACTTGCACTAACTATTCTTTGTCTAGGTGAATATACGGGTAGACCTATAAGGTACAACTACATAAAATAACTGACATTTGCCCAGTGAATTTTATATAGACTGCTAAATTAAAAAAAACTTTTAATTATATTTTCTAAGAAACACTGTAGTCTGAAATACTTGAAAAAAAAAAAACATTACAATCTTATCCTTCCACATCTTAGAAGGCAAAAGTGTAAAGTATAAAACATAAATTGTTGTATTCTACCCCCTAAATATAACTATTTTAAGAAAACTGATAAAATGATGTTATTTCAGGGTATACTAAGACTCATATATTTACCATAAATCTGTTTTTACTATTTTAGTTAAAATGCAACATTTTACATACCTCTGTAGAAAATGCATTTAAATAAATACTACAAATAAAATAATTTTACTTTTTAATGTAAGCATCACTGTATCACTGTATCACCATCATCCTGTTGTTCATCGATTTACTTGAGTGGGCACCAGTAACATCGCCATAGTGGGCACCAGTAACATCTCCATTTGTCCCAGCCCTGAGATTTTAGCAGCCTCTCCTTACCCGTCTTAATGTAAGCATAGGAATAATATTAAAGAGAAAATAAGATCAATACTACTTTTCATCCTATCATAAGATCTACTTTCAGGGCTGCAGAAAGAGTATGGGGTTCAAGTTCTTGCCTTGCATACAGCTACAGCCAAACGTGCTTGATCCTAAGCACATCTCATGGTCCATTGAACATGTTATGAGTGATGCCTGAACACAGAGCCAGGAGTAATCCTTGAACAATACCATGTGTAGCCCAACATTCTCCCTTATCTCCCCCCAAATAAAAATTACTTTTAATTTAGCATAGAAATCTTCAGTTCTTCCACATGTATTTAAAACTTTCTTTGGTTCAATTAAAATCATAAGTATAGAGTTCTATTTTTAGAAAGTTGAAAAAGTATATAAATATTGATAATTTAATTAAACCGTAAGCACTTCAAATATAAAGAAATGTGACTTACACGGGTAAGCAAGAATTCTGGATTGCCTGTGATTTGGAAGTCCATCCCTGCTTTAAACAGAATTTAAAAATTCAGAATCAGGAAACACACATTCTTGACACTGTAAGAGTAATGAACTTATTGACTATAATTTTTCTAAGTAAAATCCATCTAAGAAATATTCCTTAAGGCCCTCTCTATTATGGGAAGACAGAAAGTGTATGACAGACAGAACAGATAATTCTTAGCATAGGAATGATCCGCTAGGAAGGACAGTCACTAATATAAGTAAAAATAAGATGAAAGCCCCCCCCCCCAACACCCCTGCCAAAAAGGGTAGCTACAGACAGCAAAAGTACCAACTCTAGAGAATTGAGGAAATTTTTCAAAAACAAAACTAGAACCTTTACATGGAGTTCTGAAGGTTGAGTAGGAGTTACCCAGATGAAAGAAGACAGAAAATTGCCTCAGCCAGGAGAACAAAGTGTGCTCCTCAGACAAGCCAGCCCACAGGCAAGAGCTGGCAGTTGGAATGCACTCAAATCCAGAGTGTGAGGAGGCAGTGGGTAGGCTCTCCTTTATCATGCAAGTTAATGAACTTGGCCCTAATCCTACAAGGTAACAGAAGGCTGATTCAGGATTTAAGCAAGGAACCTGCGTATGTTTTCAAGTGTTTAGTACCAGCTATTGCCCAAAAGTTGGGCAAAAATTACTATCCAAAAATTACAGTGATTTTAGCCACTATGGAATGAAAACTATACATGAGACTTAGAGAAAATTCAGTTAATAAAAGCAGGAAGTAATTCACCCATCCACACTTAGTTATTTCTGAAATGTTATTGAATACTGCTCATTTTTCTGACACTGATAACAAGTATAAAAATTACACTTAGTACTGAGTTTCATCAGTCAGTTGAATATAAGAGTTTAAAAAAAGATACTCTACCCTGTATAAGCTGTAAATATCTCAAAAATAAAATATAAAAATATAAACCTATAAAACTATAACTTCAATGGGAAATAAACATATATCACTCAAAATAGCAGTAGATCTTCTCACATCACACATCAAATAATTTTCTTAAATATGTGAGAAAATATAATACCGTCTAACTTTAGGAAGAAAAGATGAATATAACAGAGCTGTAATATCTGTAATAATCATTTAGATCATCATTAGATCATTACCCAGAAAGTGTTGTAATAGACCTAAGGAATAAATGTTTTAGAATGTGAGTTATTGCCCACCCACAAAAAGCAAAGCCACAGACACATTTCTTCACCTCTCCATAACTCACCATAATATAAATATATCCTAGTAGGCTCCTAACCACACAAAAACACACAAGAAACAACTCCAAACTGTAAAGTTCATAATGGTAAAGCAACACAGAAACCCAACAGGTTTAGTGAGAAGATGCTAGCTCACTTGACCCAACCAGTAATAATGAGCTGTATAACCTCTCTGATAAGGAGTTGCAAATGGAACTATTAAGGATGCATAAGGAGCTCATAGAATGTGAGTTATCATTGTTGTCTAATCCAAAAAAATTCTACTAGCCAAATCCAAATAAAAACAACTAAATTATAGCCTATAAATGCTTAAAACAGGGGCCAACAGACTATGATTCAGCTCCATTTATATAAATAAAGTTTTATTAGAATACAATCATACTCGTTTATTTGTCAAATGTCTATGTGTCTTCTCTACATAACAGCAGATCTGAATAGTTGCAAAAGAAATATCAGGGATGATATAGCCAAAGTATTTACTTCACTTTATTTCTAAAAATATATCTATATATATTCTTGCTGTCCTTCCTTCCTTCCTTCCTTCCATCCTTCCTTCCTCCCTTCCTTCCCCTTTCTCCCTCCCTCCCTCTCTCCTTTATTCTTTCCTTCTTTCTTTCTTTGGTCTCACCCAGCAATGCTCAGTACTTACTCCTAGTTTTGTGCTCAAGGATCTCTCCTGGCAGGGTTCAGGGAAGCACAAGGAGTACCTAGGATGAACCTAGTTGCAAGTCAAAGGTCTTTTGAGCTGTACTATTATACTATCTTTTCAGCCCCTTTTATTGTCTTTTTTAAATATTTTTTTTTATTTTTCAGAATATAAGAGTGAAAAGTTACAATAATTTCTCAAACAGCCAGTGATCCCATACATGCACAACCTCTCATTATAAACATCCCTCAGCTATACATTTTTCACAGTTGATGAACCTACACTGAAACAAAAACAACTAAGGAAAGAAGGGGAAGAATAAAAACAAAGAGTTACATAGATAGATAGGTAAAGAGAGAGAGAGAGAGAGAGACAGAGACAGAGACAGAGATGTTATAATGTCTATATCAAAGGTTTGTTGTAAGAATTAAAAGTTGTAAATTACTGAAACATTATCAAGGTCACTGAGAACAGCAAAAATCAAATACTTGAAATAATAAAAACAAAGAAACCTATCACTTTATGTACTTCAAAACCAATTTTTAGAATTACTCAATTTTGCACTGGATAAAGGGATAAAGTAGCTTAAAACTTGCAACCCACAAAACAATGATTATTACTGTTGAGAAGAATAAAAAGTCTAATAATAGAATCCTGTGTTCTTTTCCTACCAAGCACAAATATTTTCTCCTTCTCGCTATTATTTTTACTTTTTCACATATTCAGCAGGCAAACACAGATAATTTTGTAATAATAAGAAAACAAGGAGAGTAAGTATAATTAAAAACATAAAACTAATTCAAGCACTGACCTATTTTCAAGTTATAGTTATCTTCAGTTCTGTAGTTAAATTTTTCAAATCTAGGCATACTGACTCTAAATCATTTTAGTTAAGTCATGAAAACATTAGGAAGTGAGAAAATGAGGTAATGTATCATCCTACATACAAGAGAAAAATTACATAGCCGACATACTTGTTGTGGCTTCTTTTTTCCAGGAAATGGAAGGGCTTGACTCACAAGAGAAGCAGCAACTCCTTTAATTTCTGAATCCATCTAAGTTCCTGTATTTTCATAAAAAATATTCACTGAAAAAGGTAAAACATATATAAAATGACAAATTTAATGCTAATTTTAAGTAAGTCATATACACTGTATAATAATAACAGGGTAAAAATCAAGTCATTAATCACTTTATCTTCATTTAACAAAATCAATTATTTGTCAATTACTTTTTATGGGAGCAACATTTACAAAACAAATACTAGTGTGAAGGGTGCAACCTCATCATCAATGAATGTTAACTCTAGACTCAGAAATGTTACCTAACATGACAAGGACTGCAATTAAGGTTTTTGAGATTCAAAAATTATCCTGAACCCAATGTAATCACTGGGACCCTCCCATAAAGGGAGGAAGATCATTAGAATAAAAAAAAAGAGAAGACACAAGAATATAAAGTCTGTCTCTGTCTCGGGAACAAAGATGCTGTGGAGTTGACTGAAGCTAAAGGAAGATGTCAGGAACAGTTGAGCCGGAAGTCAGAAGCCAGAAGAATGGAGATCCCAGATGAAATAAGACTTGAGAACATCTTGCTTTAACACTGTAGAACTCATTCTGTGTTCTGAACTCCAGAATTACAAACTAATGAATTTATGTTTGTATATACTGATGTAGGCAGGATAGGGAAGGCCCCTTCCCAAGACAAAGGCAAAGATTTCCTGGGAAGAAACAGCCCCAAAGTTACTGCAAGAACCTGATAAGACCCTCAGAAGAAAACAGGAAAAAAAAAACAGGAACTAAAACCCCATAAAACCCTTACTCATCTACAGCAACCCAAAGAAGCTCCTGCAGAAACAAAAGGCCATGAAAGGAATTTCAAAGAAGGCCATCACTACTCCCAATACCCCTGGTAACTGCCTTAGCAACACTTTGACTTAGGTAGAAGCCCCACATGGGGGACAGGTTGGGAAACCCTATAAAAGTCACCTTGAACAAAGGAAGGGCGTACATATGTGGCCTGAGCCCATGTGCTGTTTGCGTCCATATGGCTGAGCACATGCTGTGCCTGAGCACATGTGTCGCCTGCATCTCCCCTCTTGAGATGTGGGAGATCTCCCCTCTTTCATGCTTTCCTGTCTAAAGCTGGGATGTGGGTAGGGGCTCTCTCCGCCCTTGGAGAAGCCCGGGTTCTCTCTTGAGCATGTTACTCTCTCTCTCTCTCACTTTTTCTCCCTCCTTCCCTTCAAAACGTCCAAATAAAAACTGTGTAATTTCACTGCTTGTCTACTCCTGAGATTACTTTCTGCAAGGCGAGATAAGAACCCAGTAACCCGGGGTTCCAGGAGGCAGAGGTGGATCGTGAGAAAATGACCGTCTCTCTCCGCCCCACTTCACATGAGCCACCCATGGGGCCCACCAACGTCAATACCACTATGATTTTGGTAATATAATACAGCAATAAGAAAGTGATGCTCTTGTCTACCTCAAAGTGCTGTAAATTTCTTCTGCTTTTTTTTCCTCCCTTCCTTTTCCTTTCTTCATTCCTTCCTTTGTTTCCTCCTTCTTTTCTTTCTTCCTTTATTTCTTCCTACCCTCCTTTGTTTCTTTCTCTCTTTTTTTCTTTTCTTCTTTCAAGAATTGAACCCAGTGCCTCACACTTGCAAGTCAAGGGCTTTACCACTAAGCAGTCTTTCTGACTCTGAATTTGTTTTATTTACTCTTTTTCCTTGCACGCAGCCAGCCCAGCCAAGCCAGGTTCGATTCCTCCGCCCCTCTCAGAAAGCCTGGCAAGCTACTGAGAGTATTCAATATGCCAAACACAGAAACAAGAAGTCTCACAATGGAGACGTTTCTGGGCCCGCTCAAGCAAATTGATGAACAACGAGAGGACAGACAGGACAGAACTCTTTTCCTAAACCTTTAGGAGTTCTGATGTTGCCAGAGTATAGTGATACAAGTGTTTTGGCAATCAGTAGTATTTATCTAAACAAGGAATAAAATGAAGTGAATGATTCAATTAGTAATTATAAACTAACAAATAAAATGCTTACACAAAATTATTGACAATAATCCATTTGCAAATGTTAAAAAAATCAGATCACTTAACATTTTTACCAAGTTTTTGCAATTTATTTTATGCTTTTACATTATATTACCAAGTACATATTTTGTTTAATGTTCCATTCTTACTTTCATTTTCTATTATTAGACCTGGACTTACTTTAATAGTAAAATACCTTTCATCTTTAAAGAATGTACAGTAAGCCATTAAACCAGCTTGGAATTAGAGAGACTGACATTAAAAATTCTCTTTGGAATACTTTTTCATAATGTAAGTTTGGGCTGGAACTTAATCTTTCTGAGTCAATATTTCTAACACCATCAAATTATTTTAAAGCCACTTTCTTTCTCATATCTTGTATTATGTGGAATATGGTTAACATTTGATTCATTAAGTCTATCATCATTATTATTAAAATTGTGGCTATAGTTTACTTTATGTCCAATAAAATTATCTTACCTGATTGCACTCTCTTACTAACTTACTGGGCTGGAGCGATAGCACAGCGGGTAGGGTATTTGCCTTGCACGCAGCCAACATGGCCTATGCGAGTTTGATTCCTCCGCCCCTCTCGGAGACCCTGGCAAACTACTGAGAGTATCTCGCTGGCAAAGCAAGCTACCTGTGACGTATTCGATATGCCAAACACAGTAACAACAAAGTCTCACAATGGAGACATTACTGGGTCCACTCGAGAAAATCGATGAACCGAGAAAATCAGAGGACAGTGACAGTGACTAACTTACTATTGCCATTTCCATTACCCTATCCCCTAAACATTCCATGCCCTAAGTCTGGAATTCTACTATGAATGTAAAGTCAAAAAGATATCAACCAACAATGAAAAGACATCAAACAACAATAAGCCTATTCCAAATACAAATAAAATAATAAATTTGAAAGTAGTCCTATTGTGCTATTGTGCTATAGATTTTTTTCTTTCAGAAAAATTTGTAACCAAAAAAAAAAAAACCAGCTTTATTAGGATAAGATAACAATTTGCATAATGGAACTTGAATTTTGTGTGACCTGCTCTATCACCAGCACCACTTATGGGCCCCTAAGCACCCCACGAGAGGTCTCTAAGCATGAACAAGTACTAAGACCAGGGGCTGGAGCAATAGCACAGTGGGTAGAGTGTTTGCCTTGCACGATGGATTCCTAGCATCCCATATGGTCCCCTGAGCACTGCCAGGGATAATACCTGAGTGCAGAGCCAGGAGTAACCTCTGGGCATCGCCGGATGTAATCCAAAAAGCAAAAAAAAAAGGGGATTAAAAACAGAGCATTGCCAAGTGCAGCTTCACACACCTAAAGAGAAAAATTCCCCCAAGGGCCTGGGTCCCTCTCTGGGCACGCGCAGCTAGAAACAGCCCCTAGACAGCCTGTTTTCAACCCCTGATCTGCGTGGGATGGGCACAGAGGCCCAGCTCTGGGCAACAAAGCTGAACGGCTCCAATTCCAACAGGTACAGCCCACCCCCAAGGGCCTGGGTCCCTCTCTGGGCACGCGCAGCTAGAAACAGCCCCTAGACAGCCGGTTTTCAACCCCTGATCTGCGTGGGACGGGCACAGAGGCCCAGCTCTGGGCAACAAAGCTGAACGGCTCCAATTCCAAACAGGAGACCTTCCCAACTCCTCGCCCAGTGCCAGGGACTCTTTCCGGAGCCGCGGCCGCTAATGCGGCCGTGAAATATTTTCCCACTACATATGCCATAGGAACCATAAGCTAACTTCTTAGATGGAAACTTCTCTATTTTAGCTCAGCCACTAGAAACACAGTAGCCAATAACTCATAAGCCTATCTTAACTCACACTGCATATCAAGCAGAATAGTAACAGTGAACGTGAAGGACTAAACCACACCTCTCACAATGGTAAAGCAACGCAAAAGCCCACCAAACTTTCATATTGAAGAGTCTAGCCCAGATGACACCAACAGTACTGTAGTGTTAGACAACCTCTCTGACAAGGAATTCAGAAGGGAGCTACTTAGGATGCTTAGGGAATTAAAAGAAACAATGGAAACCAATGCCAATAGAAGACAAGAGGATCTGAAGGCAGAAATGAGGAAAATGCAATCAGAAATGTCAGACCTGAAAAATCTCGAAGGCGAATTGAAAAGCTCAGTGGAAGGCCTCAGCAGCAGAGTAAGAGCGGCTGAGAACAGAATCAGTGAGCTCGAAGATGAAGTTCAGAGACTCTCCAGAAAAGAGCAGAAAATGGAAAAGAGACTCACAATTCGGGAACAGATGGCAAGAGAAGATCATGATGAAGCCAAGAGGGGTAACATAAGAATTATTGGAGTCCCAGAGGGACAGGAAGAAAATCTCGATGAAGAAGAAACTGTCAAAGAAATCATTGCTACAACATTTCCAGAGCTGAAGAAAACTTGTGACCACATTCAGGAGGCCCGAAGGGTACCAGCTAGAAGAAATCCGAATAAAAATACCCCAAGACACATTCTGATCAAAATGACCAAAACCTTAGACAGAGACAAAATTCTGAAAGCAGCAAGATCGAAGAAAGAAATCTCTTACAAAGGAGCATCCTTAAAATTCACAGCTGATTTTTCTGATGAAACCCTCATGGCCCGAAAACAGTGGTGGGACATAGTAAAAAAACTCAATGAAATAAATGCCTCCCCAAAAATACTTTTCCCAGCAAGACTCTCATTCATAATAGAAGGAACAACACACAGTTTCACAGACAAACAACAGCTCAGGAACTTCATAGACTCAAAACCATGGTTACAAGAACAACTAAATGGGCTACTTTAAGGCAAGAAAGGCCCCTCAAATATACCAAATTTTAACAGAACAATGGGACAAAATCCCATAACAATAATCTCTCTCAATGTCAATGGGCTAAACGCACCAATTAAAAGACATAGAGTGGGAGGATGGATTAGAAAATTGAACCCAACATTTTGCTGCCTGCAAGAAACGCATCTCAATAGTCAAAGCAAACACAGACTCAGAGTCAAAGGCTGGAAAACAATC